AGCCTGGGCAACAGAGTGAGACACTGTCTCAAAAAAAAAAAAAAAAAAAAGAGAGAGAAAAGGAAGTTAGAAAAACAACCCTAGAAAAACAGCCCTAGAGGTCCTACATTCTGAGTCATAGGAGTTCCAGAAAGAGAAGTGATTGCTACATAACACAAGTTTGAAAAGAAAGAGAAGTGAGAAAATAGAGGGAAGGAAATCAAAGAAATAATCCAACTTCTGAAAAGTAAAGAATGAGCTTCCAGCAGGAAAGCGCCTGTTGAGTGCGGGCACAGTGGAGGAAATGAGGCCACATAATCATCTGGGTGTGTTGGAGCTCGCCTGTAATCCCAGCTACTCGGGAGGCTGAGGCAGAAGAATTGCTTCAGCCCAGGAGGCAGAGGTTGCAGTGAGCTGAAATCGTACTACTGCACTCCAGCTTGGATTACAGAGTGAGACTCTATCTCAAAAAAAAAAAAAAAAAAAAAAAAAAAGGTAGGCCTACATAGAGGAATATCAGTGTGAAATTGTAGAACTCTGGGGCCCAAAATCTTAAAAACTTTACAGGAAGAACAAAATTGGTTACATGTAAAGGATCCACAGCGTGGCCAGAGCAGGAGGTTTGCTTGAGCCCAGGAGTTGGAAACCTGTCTGAGCAACATAGCGTGACCCTGTGTCTACAAAAAAATAAAAAACAAAAAACAAAAAAGAACCAAAGGCTCCCGAAACAGAATGGCTTTAGCCTGCTCAACTGCAGCTGGCCAACAGCGTCTCTTCATTATTCTGAAGGACAACGAGCTCCAGTTCAGCCAAGCGTCAGCCATCTATGGGGATCTATGGGGTAGGAGGCAAGAATTCAGCAATGTTACCTTCCGGGCAGTCTTTCTCAGGAACTCCTGGAGGACAGGCTCAACACAAGCAAGGGGGGACCAAGAAAGAGGAAGATGTGAAATCCAGGAAGTAAAGACCCATGCAGGAGGGGGCGGGGGCATCCCCAGGGGGTGGTGAAGAAAGACCCGGGAATGGTGTGTGTACCCAGCCTGTGCAGCCTGTCCAGCGGGGAGCAGCATGACTCGAGACGTGTTGAGAGCTGGCATTACCAACATCCTTGCTGCCATGCTGCTCATTTAGGTACAGAATGCCCCATGAGCCTGGCCTAGATTCTTTGTTTGTTTGTTTGTTTGTTTGTTTGAGACAGAGTCTCACTCTGTCACCCAGGCTGGAGTGCAGCGGTATGATTTCGGCTCACTGCAACCTCCGCCTCCCGGGTTCGAGCGATTCTCCTGCCTCAGCCTCCCGAGTAGCTGGGACTACAGGTGCCCACCACCACGCCCTGCTATTTTTTTGTATTTTTAGTAGAGATGGGGTTTCACCGTGTTAGCCAGGATTGTGTCGATCTCCTGACCTCATGATCTGCCCACCTTAGCCTCCCAAAGTGCTGGGATTACAGGCGTGAGCCACTGTGCCTGGCCCTGGCCCAGACTCTTGCCTGCACCTGGCTGGTCCCAATCACAGGCTGAGGAAGCCCTGTTCTTTTTTTTTTTTTTTTTTTTGAGATGGAGTCTGGCTCTGTCACCCAGGCTGGAGTGCAGTGGCCGGATCTCTGCTCACCGCAAGCTCCTCCTCCCGGGTTTACGCCATTCTCCTGCCTCAGCCTCCGGAGTAGCTGGGACTACAGGCGCCCGCCACCTCGCCCGGCTAGTTTTTTTGTACTTTTTAGTAGAGACGGGGTTTCACCGTGTTAGCCAGGATGGTCTCGATCTCCTGACCTCGTGATCCGCCCGTCTCAGCCTCCCAAAGTGCTGGGATTACAGGCTTGAGCCACCGCGCCCGGCTGGAAGCCCTGTTCTTGCCCTGCTGCCTGGGTCTGCTGAGGACACATGCCCACCTGACAGGCCTCACCCTGCTTCTGAGGTCTGAGCACCCTACTCCTCAGGGCACTATGAGCTCAGAAGCAAGAGACAGAACAGCTCATGCCCCTGACCATTTCCTGCTGAATGTCCATGCCACAGCTCTGCTCAGCGTCCAAACAGGGGAGCCCCACCCCCAGCCATGCCCTCTGCCTGCCCCAGAGGGGGCTCTTGTCAGTGCCTACAGAGGCTGAGCCCAGCCTGTACCCCAGGCACTCAGCTGAGTTTATCTTTCCGGGAGTCTTCTGGCCTGGCCATGGTGCCTGTTCTGCCCCAGCCGGGGGTGTGCTGCCTCTCTGCACACATAGTACTCAGGGAAACACACCTGGGTGGGATTCATAAAACCCTAAAGGAAAGCACGGGCGTGTTCAACCCAAGTCAAAGTAAAGGTGACCTCTCGGGTGGGGAGGAATCACTGGGGAGGACCCAGGGCGCTCCTAGGACGCTGGTAACGTTCTGGTCATAACCTGGGGAATGGGCACACCTGGTATTATTATTGTAATGTATACGTGTGTGTGTGTGTGTGTGTGTTTTAATTGAGTTTTGCTTTATCACACAGGCTGGAGTGCAGAGGTGTGATCTCGACTCACTGCAACCTCCGCCTCCCGGGTTAAAGCAATCCTCCTGCCTCAGCCTCCTGAGTAGCTGGGATTACAGGTGCACACCACCACACCCAGCTAATTTTTCTATTTTTAGTAGAGATGGGGTTTCACCATGTTGGCCAGGTTGGTCTCCAACTCCTGACCTGACGTGATCTGCCTTGGCCTCCCAAAGTGCTGGGATTACAGGTGTGAGCCACTGCACCCAGCCACGTGTGTCTTATTTTTATTTTATTTTATTTTGTTTTTAGATAAAGAGTCTCACTGTGTTGCCCAAGCTGGAGAGCAAAGGCGTGATCTCGGCTCACTGCAACCTCCACCTCCCAGTTCAAGCGATTCTCCTGCCTCAGCCTCCTGAGTAGCCGGGATTACAGGCGCCTGCCACCACACCCAGCTAATTTTTGTATTTTTAGTAGAGACAGGGTTTCACCATGTTGGTCAGGCTGGTTGCGAACTCCTGACCCCAGGTGATCCACCCACCTTGGCCTCCCAAACTGCTGGGATTACAGGCGTAAGCCACCATACCCGGCTAAGAAGGAATTTTTTTTTTTTTTTTTGAGATGAAGTCTTGCCTGGCCAGAAGGAATTTTTAAAAAGTAAAAGTGGCCGGGAGCGGTGACTCACACCTGTAACCTGTAATCCCAGCACTTTAGGAGGCCGAGGCGGGCGGATCACCTCAGGTCAGGAGTTCAAGACCAGCCTGGCCAACATGGTGAAACCCCATCTCTACTAAAAATACAAAAATTAGTGGGGCATGGTGGCAGGCGCCTGTAATCCCAGCTACTGGGAGGCTGAGGGAGGAGAGAATCACTTGAACCCAGGAGGCAGAAGTTGCAGTGAGCCGGGATTGTGCCATTGCACTGTAGCCTGGGAGACAAGAGCGAAACTCCATCTGAAAGGAAGGAAAGAAAGAAAGAAAGAAAGAAAGAAAGAAAGAAAGAAAGAAAGAAAGAAAGAAAGAAAGAAAGAAAGAAAGAAAGAAAGAAAGAAAGAAAGAAAGAAAGAAAGAAAGAAGAAAGAAAGAAAGAAAGAGAAAGAAAGAAAGAAAGAAAGGAAGAAAGGAAAAGAAAGGAAAAGAAAGGAAAAGAAAGGAAAAGAAAGGAGAATCACTTGAACCCAGGAGGCAGAAGTTGCAGTGAGCTGATTGTGCCATTGCACTGTAGCCTGGGAGACAAGAGCGAAACTCCATCTGAAAGGAAGGAAAGAAAGAAAGAAAGAAAGAAAGAAAGAAAGCAGCAGAAAGCAGGGAAAGAAAGCAGAAAGAAAGAAAGAAAGAAAGAAAGAAAGAAAGAAAGAAAGAAAGAAAGAAAGAAGAAAGAAAGAAAGAAAGAGAAAGAAAGAAAGAAAGAAAGGAAGAAAGGAAAAGAAAGGAAAAGAAAGGAAAAGAAAAGAAAAGAAAGGAAAAGAAAGGAAAAGAAAGGAAAAGAAAGGAAAAGAAAGGAAAAGAAAGGAAAAGAAAAGAAAAGAAAAGAAAGAAACCCAGAAGAAAAAGATGAATGATGAATGGAACCAAGCCTGGGTTATCCTTGTCTTTAGGCCAACACAGTCAAAAATAGATTACATATGTTTGTCTTTTAATAGAGGAAGAGGCTCACAAAGGCAACAATGCCAGGTCCTAGGAAAGCCATACTACAGCCTGGCTGGAAGGAGGCTCCCAGCCTCTGTGTCTGGGTAGAAGTAGCCACTGTTCCCCTTGGCCCCTGCAGGATCAGTTTGGCCCAATGTGGCTGGTGCAGGCTGAGGGGTGTTGCCAGTCTGAGTTGGCCGGAGGGAGCTGGGACAGCCTTGGGCTGCAGCAAGACAGCCACAGTGCCAGGGGCCTGGGGCTGGACACGCCCTGCATGGGAGTGGACCTGGACAGCTGGAGGCCACCTCTGGACTGTGATGATGGCAGCCTCCCCTCACTGAGCGCTGAGCATCTGAGGGGTGTCCTGCCTGCATCACCGCCTTGTGGCTTCATCAGTCCCACGAGTTTGTGCCCATTTTACAGATGAGGAGATGGAGACCCAGAGAACCAGTCAGAAAGTGGTCGGGCCAAGACTAAGAGTGCAGCGCGCAGCCTCCGTTCACTGGATCAACAGCTCAAGGAACTGGGGTGCTCCGGAAATGGGGCCAAGGCTGCTGAGCAGGAGGACGCTCAGGGCCTTGCCCTCAGGAGAGGCAATCCCCCACTTGGAGATCGGTCTTGTTGCCGCATTTTATAGATGGGAAAATGAGACTAGAAGAAACCACAAGCGACCCGCCGGCGGACACACGGCAACGTTTTAGGTGCTGGGTCTGGCCGGGCGGCCATCGCCGGTCACCGTTGGGAGGAGAAGGAGCCGAGAGACTCGCTCGCGGCCGGGGGGAGGCAGAAGCGCGTCCCGCGGGAGAGGTGGCTTTGAGGAGTGAGCTCCCGGTCCCGCGGGGATGCCAGTGGGTCCAGGGCCCGGGCTGCCAGGCGGGGCGGGGCGGAGCGGGGCGGGGCGCGGCCGGGTAGTGGGGCGGGGCCGGGCGGTGGATTGACGGGCGGGGCCTGGTGGCGGGGCGGGGCCGGGCGGCTGAGAGGGGCGGGGCGGATGCGGGCACAGCGGTCTGGCTAACTCCTGCCAGGCAGTGCCCTTCCCGGAGCGTGCCCTCGCCGCTGGTAAGTGAGGACGGGACGCGGAGGGGGCAGCGGGAAATGGGGGCCCACACGGCTGCGACTCTGACAAAGCCGCGGGACAGAGGGAAACTGAGGCCGGAGCCGAGTACTAGACACCCGAGGGGGCGGCCCGGGGCAGCACTTGGGGCTCGGCTATCGGGTCAGGGGCGGAGGCGGCGGGCAGCCAGGTCTGGGCCTCCGCGGCCGGGGTTCCTGCGCGGGCCGCCTCCGACTGGGGGTTCGGGAGGGGAAACTTGGGCAACTCCGCCACGCCCCGCCCCTGCTTCTCCTGCAGGAAGCGCGGTCCCAGGAGAACCCAACGCTCCCTCTCCCGCCCATTCCGCGGATGGGCAATCCCAGGAGGAGCTCCCTTCAGGGTCTCAGAATGTCTGGGAGACCTCAGGCAGGATCCTGATCCCCCAAGACAACCCGTTTCATAGTGGAGGAGAACAGCCCAGATCGGGGAAGTTTTTTTTGCCCAAAGCCGGTTAGAGGCCCCCTGGCCCTCGATTCCCAGTGCGGGGCTCAGGTGCGCTGCAGCCTAGACGGGACTTACTCTGAGCCGAGCAGCCTCTGGGACCTGTCTGCTTCCCCTGCCCCTTGCAAAGAAGAGGGAGCCCAGGTGGGAGAAGCGGGGCCTTCCTGCTGTGAACACACTGCTGGCCAGGGCAGCTGCCAGAGGCCATGGCCTGGCGTGGGCCTGGAGCCCCTCTGGCCAGCCTGCCAGGGGCCGGCGCTACGGATTACCAGCAGTGTGCCCTGGGCTGGATGGCAGGAGAGACAGGACTTGAGGCTGTCCCAGAATGGACTCAGGCAGGGCGAGGATATTAGGGGAGGTGGTGTACAGGAAGCAGTCGCCCAGCTCGCCTGGCACACAGCAAGCCCTGCCCATGAAGGCCTGCTGCCAGAACGTGGGCGAGGCCCGGCGTCTCTGTGGAGTCGGTGGGGCCCGAGACAGGGCAGCGTGAGGCAGGTTTCCACTGGCGGTGAAAGGGGCTGTGTAGTAAGGGCAGGAGAGCCAGCCTCAGCCCAGCAGGGGAAGGCGGCCCCTGAGTCTCCACCTGGCTGCTGGCAGCCCCATAGGGAGGCTCCGCGGGAATCCTGGGCTCCCAGGAGAGTGCTGGAAACTGGGGGAAACTGAGGCTTACCAAAGAAGCCTTTGTCCAGAGTCATGCAGCTGGCGTGGTGGAGCCAGGGCCTGGACCCGTGCAGTCTGATCCCAGCCTGCCTCCTCCACTGTGCCCCGAGGGCCACTTTCTTTCCTGGGACTGTGTCTGTGTGTGTGTGTGCACACACACGTGCTGTGTCCTGTCGTCTGTACAGACTTGTGCCTGCCGCGAGGCACCATGTCTGGCTGGATCTACCAGAACGTATTCACAGCAGGTTCTCCAGGTGGGGTGAAGGGCTTGGGCTCACAGGGAGGGAGCCTACATTTACCTTTAGCTTTTTCAGTATTTCAGTTTTGAATCTCTGTTTTGTTTCGTTTTTCTTTCTTTCTCTTTTTTTTCCTTCTTTTTTTCTTTTTTTTTTTTTTGTTTGAGACAGGGTCTTACTCTGGTAGGCAGGCTAGAGTGCAGTGATGCCATCATAGCTCACTGCAGCCTCCTGCAGAACTCCCGGGCTCAAGTGATCCTCCCACCTCAGCCTCCCAAAGTGCTGGGATTACAGGCGTGAGCCACCGTTTCTGGCTTATTTGTGTTTTCTTTACTTTTGATTGCGCAAACAATGCGTGGATGTGCTCTCTTTGTGAGAGCAGTAGTCTTTTTTATTTTCTTTTCTTTTTAACCACTGAACCACTAGGGAAGTCATTCTTAATTTCTTCTTTAGTTTTATTTATATGTATTTTTTGAGTCGGTGTCTCTCGCTCCATTGCCCAGGCTGGAGTGCAGTGGCTCCAGCTGGGCTCACTGCAACCTCTGCCTCCTGAGTTGAAGTGATTCTCCTGCCTCAGCCTGGCTAATATTTGTACTTTTAGTAGAGACGGGGTTTCACCACGTCGGCCAGGCTGTTTCTTTATTTTTCACTAAAAAAAAGTTTAACCCCCGAACCTTGAAGGAAAGGAAAGGAGTCTTTCTTAACAGAACCAATTCCCCCTGGACACCCCACCCTCACCCTACCCTTTGCCAGGCCACTCGATGGCCAGGTTGGCTGTGGATTTTTCCAGACCTGTGGGCTGTTCCACTGGTTACTTTCGTAATGAAAAATGCACACAAAGTCAGAACGATTAGCCATGAGTCATTTTTTAAAAGTCTGAAAACAAGTCTCTGGGACAACGGTGGCTTCATTGGAGAAACAAGGCTCAGGGGAGCTGGGTGCAGCTGGGGGTGGTGGTGGGGATCAGAGAAGGGACACATTCCTTATTCTGTTCCTGGATCGCCTTCTTTTTTTAGTTAGTTAAGTTTTGCTTTTTGTTTGTTCGATTTTTTTCTTTTTTTTTTTTGAGATGGAGTCTTGCTCTGTTGCCCAGGTTGGAGTGCAGGGGCGTAATCTCGGTTCGCTGCAACCTCCACCTCTTGGGTTCAAGTGATTCTCCTGCCTTAGCCTTCTGAATAGCTGGGACTACAGGCGCCCGCCACCATGCCTGGCTAATTTTTGTATTTTTAGTAGAGACGGGGTTTTACCATGTTAGCCAGGCTGGTCTCGAACTCCTGACCTGAGGTGATCTGCCTGCCTCAGCCTCCCAAAGTGCTGGGATTACAGGTATGAGCCACTGTGCCTGGCCTTCTGGGCCTTCTGGGTCACCTATAGGAGGTCTCCGAGAACAGAAAGACACCCTGAAACCCACTGGCTCGACCACCACCTCACAGATGGGGACACAGAGGCCCAGGAGATGAGATACCTTGGGGCAGCTATGGGTCTGGGGTCTCCGGGCCAGGAGTGAAGTCTCACAAGACCTGGAGACCCTGGGTCCCACCCTTGGTGGGGGAGGGCTCAGATCCTGCGGGGACTGATGCTCTGTGGGGGCTGGGATGTTGCTGTGGCAGGTGGAGAGAGCGATGCTTCTGGCCTTGAGAGAACCTTCTGGCGCAGTTCACAGGTGGGGTGGAGTGGCCTGGGGCCTGTGGGTCCAATCCTGGCGCTGCAGGCTTTATGAGCCCTGTTACAGATGAGGAAGGAGGCTGAGACGGGTGGTGACACAGATGCTGGCAAGTGGCCATGCAGACCAGAGCAGGCTGGCAGACACCCAGTTCATAGGGAGGGGTGGGATGAGTTTTGGAGTCACTCAGACCTAGAAAGTTCTGTGATTTCTCCTGTCTCAGTTTCCTCATCTGGAAAATGGGACAAGTCATGAGTCCACTATGGAGGCCAAGTGGGCCGTGTGGCTCAGGGAGAAGCAGCTAGTCCCCTGTGGCTGCTGTGGGGACCAAACGAGGCGGTGACCGTCGGGATGAGCACGGACTCCACCATGCAGGCCCCTGCCTACCAGAGGCCCGTGCACAGCCAGAGCTGAGCAAGGCCTGGAGCCTTCTCCTGCCTCCACATCCTGCGCCCTTTACCCTGCCCTGATCTTGCCCCTGTTTTGGGGGCACTGCTCCGTGCAGGGCATTTTCACCGGTGGAGCGTCCAGGGGCTCTCGTGGCTGATAGGGTGTCGTCTCAGGTCCAAGCCTTGAGGCCCTGTCTTCCCCTGGAGGAAATGGGGCTAGTGGCCCCACACCGATACCCACAACCACTCTCCTCTCTAGAGTTTTCAGGAAAACGTTGTTGTCCCACCCCTTCCTCCCTTGAGCTACCCCAGGCCCCTGAGAAGCAGACACGGCGGGTTTACCCACCTGATGTGGAGGGAAGCCGGGCCCAGAGACGAGCCTTGGGTGGAGGCAGAGCGGAGGTCTGGATCCCTTTTCACCTGAAGGAGACAAAGGGGCACAGGTGGCTTCACCCCTCTGCCTGAACCCCAAGTCCCGTCCCTGCCATGTGTGCCCCCGGCCCACCCCAGCCTTCCCTGGGCCCATCCCAGAGCAGATTTGTGGACCCTGCCTAGCCTGGCCCAGCATGACTCATCATGATGGGTACTGCCCCTGCCTACCTGTTCCCTCGTTGGGCGATTCAGGAGCCGGGCAGTTCCCCAGAGGCCCTAGGAAACTCCCCACCTGCCACCAGGCTTTCTCCATGTGGGGCATCTGACCACCCTGTTTTCTGGTGGGGCAGACCCTCTGAGCCCCTTGGCCCTGTGGGTCATAACCACAGCTAGGCCTGAGAAGGGGGCAGCCTGGGGTGGGAGTGTGAGCACGGGACTCAGAACCGGCTCCAGACCCTGCTCTCTCTTGCTGTGGCCTTGGGAAAGGCACCATGCCTCTGTGACTTTAATTCGTTCTGTACAACAGGGGACCTGGAGGGTGGTCTCTAAGGTCGTGTCAGCTGGAACACTGGGCGAGTTCCATTTGTGATTTACTGGGCTCCGAGTGTGCGCCTGGCCCTGGCTGGGTGCTGGGGCCAGGTGACAGAATCGTGGGGAGGGAGAAGTTCTGCCACATGCTACAAGGTGAGGGCCTCTAGAACATGACGCTCGGTGAGGGCCTCTAGAACATCCGGCCCAGACCCTGCTCTCTCTTGCTGTGGCCTTGGGAAAGGCACCATGCCTCTGTGACTTTAATTCGTTCTGTACAACAGGGGACCTGGAGGGTGGTCTCTAAGGTCAGGTCAGCTGAACACTGGGCGAGTTCCATTTGTGATTTACTGGCCCGAGTGTGCGCCTGGCCCTGGCTGGGTGCTGGCCAGGTGACAGAATCAGGAGGGAGAAGTTCTGCCACATGCTACAAGGTGAGGGCCTCTAGAACATGACGCTCGGTGAGGGCTTCTCTCTAGAACATGACTCGGTGAGGGCCTCAGAACATGACGCCCGGTGAGGGCCTCAGAACATGACGCCCGGTGAGGGCCTCTAGAACATGACGCCGGTGAGGGCCTTCTAGAACATGACGCTCGGTGAGGGCCTCTAGAACATGACGCTCGGTGAGGGCCTCTAGAACATGACGCTCGGTGAGGGCCTCTAGAACATGACGCTCGGTGAGGGCCTCTAGAACATGACGCTCGGTGAGGGCTCTAGGAACAGACGCTCGTGAGGGCCTCTAGAACATGACGCTCGGTGAGGGCCTCTAGAACATGACGCTCGGTGAGGGCCTCTAGAACATGACGCTCGGTGAGGGCCTCTAGAACATGACGCTCGGTGAGGGCCTCTAGAACATGACGCTCGGTGAGGGCCTCTAGAACATGACGCTCGGTGAGGCCTCAGAACATGACGTCGGTGAGGGCCTCTAGAACATGACGCCGGTGAGGGCCTCTAGAACATGATGCTCGTGAAGGAAGCCGACACCAGGGCCACACACTGCATTGAGACCAAATGTCCAGGATGGGCACGTCCCCAGAGAGAAGTCAGATTGCTGGCTGCCAGGGCTGGGGGGAGGGAGGGGAGCCACTGCTGATGGATACAAGGTTTCTTTTCGGGGTTGAAAATGCTTTGGAACTTGATACAGAGGGTGGTTGCACAACAATGGCAATATACAAATGCTGCTGAATGGTGCACTGGGGGTTTCCATTTGTTGCATGAACATCACTGAAAGTGCATCAGCTTCCGTGTGGTATCAAGGGGTTCTGGATGTGCATGTGTCTTATGCTGGTGGTATTAACCTTGCTCGCCTGGACAGGGACACCTGTGAGGCTGAGAGTGGGCCATCAGTGTGGGGCAGGTGGGCCTCAACTGGGGGTGTCCTGGGAAAACGCACGTACAGGTACCCTGGTCCGGCTCGTTTCCAGCGGAGGCTGAACGAGGCTCCTTATGGTTCCCCCACAACGTCACTCAGTTGTGGACTCACGCAGGCTCCAGCAGAGCGGCGGTTATGTCTCAGTTGCCCAGATGGGCAGCAGGCTGAGCTGGCCTGGGCTTACCTGAAAGGATGTAGTGGGAGGCTGAGCTGGGAGGTGGTCCCAGGGCTGTGGTCCAGAGCTCCATATCCACTTGGCAGTGGTGCAGGGCCAGTGCTCAGCAGTACCTCCCGTCCCAGGGAAGGTGGTCTTTCATATGTGTAGTGACATCAGACCCCCACTACCACCCCATTAGCACTGTACCCTGGAAGCTGGAGGGGGGGGGCAGGAGGGAGGGGGTGGGGCAGGATGAAGGGGATGGGGCAGGATGGAGGGGCGGGGCAGGAGGGAGGGGGAGGGAGAACACAGGAATATTTCTTGCCAGGACCTAGGTCACATGCCCAGTCCCCAAGAATGTCCACCCTTACTGCCCATCTGTGCAGCAACCTTGGGGGATGGGGTAGCTGTCCCCATTCAACAGGTGAGAAAACTGAGGTCCAGGGAGGGGAGGGAATCACAGTAAGTGGCAGCATGGGAATCTGCTGGATGCCTGACACTCTGATTGTTCCTTTAAAACAGACCGGGTGCGGTGGCTCATGCCTGTAATCCTAGCACTTTGGGAGGCTGAGGCAGGCAGATCAACTCAGGTCAGGAGTTTGAGACCAGGCAGGCCAACATGATGAAACCCTGTCTCTACTAAAAAATATAAAAATTAGCTGGGCGTGGTGGTGGGTGTCTGTAATCCCAGCTACTTGGAAGGCTGAAGCAGGAGAATCGCTTGAACCCGAGAGGCGGAGGTTGCAGTGAGCAGAGATCTCGCCACTGCACTCCAGCCTGGGTGACAGAGCGAGACTCCATCTCAAAAAAAAAAAAAAAAAGAAGAAAAAAAAGGGCCCTGGCCAGGCATGGTGGCTCATGCCTATAATCCCAGCACTTCTGGAGAACAAAGTGGAAGGATCACCTGAGCCCAGGAGTTTGAGACTAGCCTGGGCAACATGGAGAGAACTTGTCTCTACAAAAAAATACAAAAAATTAGCTGGGCATGGTGGTGCATGCCTGTAGTTCCAGCTACCTCCAGGCTGAGGTGGGAGGATCCCCTGAGCCTGGGAGGTCAAGGCTGCAGTGAGCTGCGATGGTGCTGTTGCTCTCCAGCCTGGACAGCAGCGACACTCTGTCTGTGAAATATAAAATACAGTAATGTTCATTATACATATTTTGGCAAACAAGTAACGTAGTGAACTTAGCGTCATAAATCCTGCTGCCAAGGGTGGACTCTGGAATCCTGAGTGGCTGACCTGTGGAGGGGCCTTGGGCAGACGTCTCCACTGCCCTGTGCCTCAGGTCTCTGTTGGCAGACGGCCATAAGGTGGCATCGCTCCCTCGCAGGGTGAGGGTTCATGGCCAGTGCTGGGGTAAAGCTTGCCTGGCCTGGCATACAGCCATTTCCCTGGAATTGCTGGCTTTATGATTATGACTGTGGCTAACATCTTCATGCATTGGTTACAATTGAGAAAAAAAAATGCATATCTAGGCTGGGTGCAGTGGCTCACGCCTGTAATCCCAGCACTTTGGGAGGCCGAAGCAGGCAGATCATCTGAGGTCAGGAGTTCGAGACCAGCCTGGCCAACATGGTGAAACCCTGTCTCTACTAAAACTACAAAAATTAGCCCGGCGTGGTGGCATGTGCCTGTAATCCCAGCTACCTGGGAGGTGGGAGGCTGAGGCGGGGGAATCCCCTGAACCTGGGAGGCGGGGGTTACAGTGAGTTGAGATCGTATCATTGTATTCCAGGCTGGGCAACAGAGCGAGACTATATATATAAAAAAAAGCGTATCTATATTATCCATTCTTTGCCAAAATTGGGGTCATTCTGTAGTCTATGTATATTCTGCTTTCTTCGTGTTACACTGAGAACAACTTTTCATCACTAAAAAGCCTTCAAAAGCTTGGTTTGTGAGGGGCCAGTCTTTAATAGTCCCTGGCTGCTGGGCACTGAGGTGGCTTCTGTGCTCACCCAGCTCCACGGATCCCAGGCCAGCAGCTGCTCCTTCTCCCTGGGGCCGGCTTTGTCCTTTGCCCTTTGCCCCTGTCGAAGCCCACATTCAGCACAGTCTCCGCTGACCTCCCTCTGCCCCCACTTGGCTGCCTCCATGTCCCCCGGACTGCTTGTCTCTCGCGTTCCCCTGGGGCGAAAGTGCTCACTGTTCTTCCTGTGGCATCTCCTCCCTGGTCCCTGGTCAGAGGGTCCCTTTCTGAGGTCCAGGCTCCCTCAGCCCCAGGCTGTGCCTCCCCAACCCCATGCCCCGCTGGGTCCCAGCCCTCGCCCCAGCAGGCCTTGCTGCAAGTTGGCGGAACTAAATCCGGTTGTGTGGCTTCTTGTCTCAGACAAGAGCAGATGACCCCTGATTCTCCACCTAGAATCAGAGTGAGTGAGACCTTAGCCCTTCATTTTTTGATGAGACCAGGGTGGGAGCCATATTGCCACCGGGGCAGAGCCTGGCCCAGAGTGCACTGTGGCCCCATCTCCGGTGCATGGGGAAGGGGCGGTGGTTTTAGTGGGGCCTGTGTGGGGTGCTGAAACAGCTGTGTAGAGACACACCTTGCTGCTGTGCACTGAGCTGTGTTCAAGGTAGGTAAGCATTGATATCCCACTCTACCGAGGGGGAAACTGAGGCCCTGAGTTGATGTGATTTGCCTGAGGTCACAGTGAGGCAGTGAGGAAAGGGATTTGACCCAAACTCTGTCTGATACCGAATGAGTGAGTGAGTGAGTGAAAGGTGAATGTGAAGTGCTGGAATGTAAAGCACTGGCCTGGCAGAGCCCCCAGAGCTGGGACTTGGCCCAGGGAGGCAGGCTGGGAAGGCTTCTTGGTGGAGGGGACCCAAACTGGCCTTGGAAGAGGCAGCAGGGAGGAGGGGTCAGTGCCAGGAGACCCAAGGTCGAGGTGAGGGTGGACAAAGGTGAGGCCAGGCAGCTGGGGCAGGAGCAGGGCTGGAAATGTGTTCACTCAGCCACTCCTGCCCTGCACAGCTCTGCGCCTCCTGATAAGCCAACTGGTTGATCTGTGGGTGACAGGCCTTTCAGGGATGCTGGAGGAGACACAGGCCTAACCCCATGGCCTCAGGAATGCCCTCACCCAGCCTTGTCTTTTCTTTCAGAGCTCCCCTGAACAGCAGCTGCAGCAGCATGGCCCCGCCCTGGGTGCCCGCCATGGGCTTCACACTGGCGCCCAGCCTGGGGTGCTTCGTGGGCTCCCGCTTTGTCCACGGCGAGGGTCTCCGCTGGTACGCCGGCCTGCAGAAACCCTCGTGGCACCCGCCTCACTGGGTGCTGGGCCCTGTCTGGGGCACGCTCTACTCAGCCATGGGGTAGGTGGGCGCGCACTGGCCTGGGGATGAGCCTGGCCCTTTGCAAGGAGAGGCCTGGCCCAGGACAGAGGGTCTCCTCCAGGCGGGCCATGGGCCACGGCATGGTTTCCCCCGCCATTTGGCAAGCCAGGGTGGGGAAGCTGTGGGCCTGTTGATTGCACAACTGAACTTTCTCCTCCTGGGCCCCTGGGGGGACGGGTCAGATGCTCACCCCACCCTGGCATCCCTGCCATGTTCACAGCTCCAGGCGGAGGCCAGCTTAGTGTGTGAAGGTTGGCCTTGGGCAGCGGCATGGATGCTTTCCAAGATTAACAACGGCAGCGACAGCCCCGAGAGCAGCTCCTCTGTTGAACTCCTGCCCAGTGCCAGGCTCATCTCATTCATACTCAATGCCCCCCATGATAAGGGGCCTCCCAAGGACACAGGGCTTGCAAGTGTGGACCCCGCACAGCCCTCTTCAGGCTGAGTCTGGCCTGAGTCCCTTGGGACTAGACCAGGGGAATTCCACCCAGAAAGGACATGCTGGGAGGGGCAGGGCGCCTCTTGGTGGCTGTAGAGGGGACTGCACCCACGAGGCGGGGAATTGACTGCCTTCTGGAATGTTCCCTGCATACTGGTTCCGTGTCAGCCCAATGCAGGGTGGGGACGCAGGTGCCAGGCACTCCAGGTGGCAGATAGCAGAGGCCAGGCCAGGTGCCCAGCTCTGATGGGAATAAGGCCCTGGAACCTGGGTGTCACCTGGGCCTCACCCCTTCCGGCCCAGGCCCTGCCCAGCCAGGCTCCCACACTTTCCTGGCTCCAGTGTCCCCACCCTGCTTGGCCTTCCTATACCACCTGGTCCCAGCCTGTCTTTGGGGGAGCTTTTTGGGGCTCCCTGTAGCTCTGGATAAGGCAAACCCCTCGTTAGTAGGTGAGAGTCAGGGCTCTGGCCCCGGCCGACCGGACTTCATCCACTGATGGCCGGCCAAGAGATCTCAGTCACTTCACCGCCTGTGCCTCAGTCTCCTCACTGTAAAGGGGGTGCTGATACTGCCTGCCTTACAGCATTGTCAGGAGGCTGAAATGAGTGAATGCTTGGGAAGTGGTAGGGCCTCCTCATAGGTAGGGCTCCTGTGAGTGCCGGAGGGCATCGGCTACTGTTACTGGTGGTGTTACTGTTGCCCTGTGTTAACAGCTCCCATCACCAGGCCTCCACCCGGACCTCACCCTGCAGTCACAGACTGACTCGGGGTCTCACATCTGCCTCACAGCCTTTGCATGTCCTGTTTCCTCCCCTGAAAAACTCCTATTCATCCTTTAAGGCCCAGCCCAAATGTCCTATCCTCTATGTAGTGCCCTGGCTAGGTTAAGAGCCTCCTCTCTACCTAGTCACACCATGTGGTTCCCCTTCATAGCAGTGACAGTGATAATAATGGCAGGTGTTTATTGAGTGTCCTATATGCTGGGTATCGCATGAAGCGCTGCCAGTGTGCTAACTAGAATCCCTACAGCAACCCTATGAGAAATGAAGGCCCAGAGAGGTCAGGCAACTTCCCTGAGATCACACAGCTGCCAGTGTCAGGTCACGCATGAGCCATCACTGTGTCACTCGGAGGTGGGCAAGGCTCCTGGCCTTGCTCCTAATGGTGCTCTGAACTGCGGCCTCTGTTTCAGGTATGGCTCCTACCTGGTCTGGAAAGAGCTGGGAGGCTTCACGGAGGAGGCTGTGGTTCCCCTGGGCCTCTACACCGGGCAGCTGGCCCTGAACTGGGCGTGGCCCCCCATCTTCTTTGGTGCCCGACAAATGGGCTGGGTAAGTGTGGCTACTGCATGTGTCCCTGATCCCTGGGTCCGACCCTTGGAGGCCCTGGGGCATCACATAGGACACTGGGTCAGTGTCTGTAGGCGGGGCCAGGGGAGGCAAAAGGCCATGTCTCTCTAGCTCTAAGCAGCCCACGCCCTGGAGCCTCCCCTCGACTGACTCTCCTTCAGTGAGGGAAGCTATTAAGGCAGAAGGGGTTGCAGGGTGGGTTTGGGGGTCACTGTATAGGAAAACCCACATGAAGCCTGGTACTGTGTGGGCAGGGTCACTGGCCCCTCTACATGACAGCTTCTTCTTTTTTTTTTTTTGAGACAGAGTCTCACTCTCTTACCCAGGTTGGAGTGCAGTGGCGAGATCTCAGCTCACTGCAACCTCTGCCTCCCAGGTTCAAGCAATTCTCCTGCCTCAGCCTCCTGAGTAGTTGGGACTACAGGCACATGCCACCATGCCTGGCTAATTTTTTTATTTTTAATAGAGACAGGGATTTTTTTTTTTTTTTTTTTTTTTTGAGACCGTGTCTTGCTCTGTCGGCCAGGTTGGAGGGCAGCGGCGCAATCTCGGCTCACTGCAAGCTCCGCCTCCCGGGTTCAGGCCATTCTCTTGCCTCAGCCTCCCGAGTAGCTGGGACTACAGGCGCCCCCGACTATGCCCGGCTAATTTTTTGTATTTTTAGTAGAGACGGCATTTCTCTGTTAGCCAGGGTCGTCTCGATCTCCTGACCTCATGATCCGCCCGCCTCGGCCTCCCAAAGTGCTGGGATTACAGGCGTGAGCCACTGTGCCTGGCCTTAAGACAGGGTTTTACCATATTGGTTAGGTTGGTCTTGAACTCCTGACCTCAGGCGAACCACCCGTCTCGGCCTCCCGAAGTGTTGGGATTACAGGTGTGAGCCACTGCACCTGAAAAATAGCAAGTTTTTGTTTGGGCCTTGTAGTAATGCTGGAAGGTCAGCGCTGCCCTCCGTGGAGGCTCTGAGCTCAGAGAGGGGAAGGGACCTGCGAGACCTCTCTAAGCCACCACCGCACCCTTGAACAAACCGAGTTCACTTCAGGCATGTCACGTGCACCCCACACATGGCATGGGTCAGGCGGGAGGACTATTCCCATTTTACAGATGAGGAAACTGAGGCTGAGATAGGGGAGGGGCTTGGCCAGGTCACTCAAGGGTGGAGTGGGGGTGAGTGAGGCTCCTGACTCCCAAATCCAGCAGGAGTTGGGCAGTGGGACACGCACTTGGGTGGATGTGGTGCCTCAGGCCTCCCTGTCCTTCCTCCCCCAATCTCTGCAGGCCCTGGTGGATCTCCTGTTGGTCAGTGGGGCGGCGGCAGCCACTACCGTGGCCTGGTACCAGGTGAGCCCGCTGGCCGCCCGCCTGCTCTACCCCTACCTGGCCTGGCTGGCCTTCGCGACCACACTCAACTACTGTGTATGGCGGGACAACCGTGGCTGGCGTGGGGGCCGGCGGCTGCCCGAGTGAGTGCCCGGCCCACCAGGGACTGCAGCTGCACCAGCAGGTGCCATCAGTGATGGTGGCTGTGACACTTTCACAACCACTGGGCCTGCTAGTCTGTCAGGGCCTTGGCCCAGGGGGTCAGCAGAGCTTCAGAGGTGGCCCCACCCGAGTCCCCACCCAGGAGCAGTGTCCTGCGCTTTCTGCATGCTCAGAGCATGTTCTCGGAACATGGAATTTTATAAGCTGAATAAAGTTTTTGACTTCCTTTACCATGGCCTTTTTGCTTGGGTGGGACCCCCAGCCACAGGGAAGAGGGGGAGCTGGGGCTAGGCTGGAGCTCGTCTCTGCGGGATCTGCCTCGGCTGCCTTTTCCACACAGGGCTGGATCCGGCTGGGGCTGCCCCACGCTTCCTGGGACGCTCCTGAAGCCCTGCAGATGAACAGAGCAACCCTGGGTGCCACCCTGGAGCCCACACTGGCACAGACCCAGCTGGGGCCGTGGGCTTCGGCAGAGGGAGGGGGTCCTGTCCACTTCCCATGGCTTCCGGGATGCTCAGCCCGGGCCCTTGAATGGCTGGGCCCACAACCAGTGTCCAATGCCTAGTCCTGCCCAATGCGTGGCCCTCAGCTGGTTTTACCCAGGACAGAGCTGGGGGTGCTGACTGCCCCGTCCCCCAGGGGCCCAGGCTTGTGGCAGCCTCACTGCACCAGGGATAGCCCCACAAACACCCAGTTGGCTCAAGAGGGTGTCCGAGGCAGGAAAGGTTAGGTCTCGACTCCAGCAGACAGGGCGTCCTTGCTGGCCCAGAGCGACCAGGATTGGAGGCGTCACAGCCACTCACTCCCTCACCCCGGCTTGCAACTGGGCGACCCATGACATCTCCAGGCAGCTGTTTGGAGTAAACGAGCCAAGAACCACATGCAGCGCCCTCCATCCTGCTATTGGTCACCACACCCATGCAGCACTCAGCAACACAGCCTGCTGCTCCCTCCCTGCGGCCAGGCCTGACCTGCTGGGCGTTTTGTTTTTGGCGGCTAAGTTCGTTCAAATTGGCAAAATGTTCATAGAGAGCTTGCCATCACTCAGCAGCCCGTGGCTGCTGCCTCCTCTCCTTTCTCCCCCGACTCCTGTGTCCTCTCCCGACCTGAACCTCAAACGCAACCTGACGTTCACAAAAGCTTGGACACAGTGGCTCACACCGGTAATCCCAGCACTTTGGGAGGCTGAGGCGGGAGGACTGCTTGAGGCCAGGTGTTTGAGACCAGCCTGGGCAACATAGGGAGACTGTCTATACCATTCACTCTGGCGCACGCACACCACACCCACACCCACACCCACACCCACACCCACATCCACACACACACACACGAAAGAACGAACAGCTCAGGGAAAAGATGAGCAAAGACAGTCAACTGCATTCTTCTGACAGAAGGGATGGCTCCCGCCCAGAGGCTGAGCCGCTCCATCCTGACCCTTAGCCTCCCGCTCCCTCGACTCTGGCAGAGTTTGATGCCCGACAGATCACACTCTGCAGGACCCAACAGCTTTGTGGCCACAGGCACTCAGCTGAGCTCTCAGCCCACATGGCTTTCCTGACGCTCACCGGTGCAGAGGAGCCAGCTGGGGAGCCTCTGTGTATCCTTTTTATTATTTCTGAAGTTCTCCAAGACACTCAGAGTTGTATTCCTCCAGAACTCTGTGCAGACATTAGTCCAAGCAGCGGATGGCAGAGAGGTCCTTGCTAGCAAGAAACTTACAGGCCAGGCTGTCTCCTGCTCCAGCATGCCAGTGAGCAGGCGCCATCCCCGCAGGGCACAGGGGTATCCTTTGAAGTGTCAAGGGACACCTGAGTGCATGCCAGACACTTAGGGATTGGAGAAAGTGCAACCCAGACTTCTGCCATCTCCGCCCAACTCGTGGGGTTGTTCATCTGTAGCAAATATCCCACATGGCTCTTGCTGGCCACAAAACACGCACTGCCACAAAAACGCCCTGGAAAAACGGGCGAGAGAATACATTTAGCATTTCATCTGCTGGTTTCTTTTTAACAGCCTGGCGGTTTCCCTTGCTCGTAACAGACATTACCCCCTTTTCTAAGCTGCTGTCATCCACTAGGGACTTAAGGCTTTGATGCTGAGTGGGTTTATTATTTTTTGAGACAGAGTCATGCTGTCGCCCAGGCTGGAGTGCAATGGCACGATCTTGGCTCATTGCAACCTCTGCCTCCCAGGTTCAAGCAATTCTCCTGCCTCAGCTTCCAGAGTAGCCGGGATTACAGGTGCGTACCACCATGCCTGGCTAATTTTTGTATTTTTAGTAGGATGGGATTTCAATACATTGGGCAGCCTGGTCTCAAACTCCTGACCTCAAGTGATCCGCTCACCTCGGCCTCCCACAGTGCTGGGATTACAGGCATGAACCACTGTGCCTGGTCAATTCTGGCTTTGGATGGCTTCTTAACACAGATTGACGAGGCTGCAAATGAGTACCAAGAAGAAGTATTTAGTGCGATAAACATCTCCTGGCAACTGCCTCAGCACCTGGAGCCAGCTGGTCTTCCAGCTCATGGAGTCCCTGGGTCTCTATGTCCACCCTTCCTTGGGGGTGTCCATTTGCAGTGAGCAGAGGTGCAAGGACATGTGGGGACAGAGAACAGCTATCTACAAGCACGGAAAGCCTGGACCATGTGGTCTTGATTCTGGGGGCTGTCCCAGCTGCTCCCTGGGCACCAGGTTTTAAGTGAGCTGGGAACCAGTGAGAGCACCGGCTGCTGAGCATCTGGACAGAGTCCATGTGGGCATCAGTCCTGAGGCCTCCCCTCAAAGGGAGGCTCAGGAGAGAAGCAGCGCAGTCCAGGCAGCCTGCCTTGGGCCGCTCTGTGTCTTCTTTTTTTTTTTTTTTGAGACGGAGTCTTACTGTGTCGTCAGGCTGGAGTGCAGTGGCTCACTGCAACCTCCACCTCCCGGGTTCAAGCGTTTCTCCTGCCTCAGCCTCTCGAGTAGCTGGGACTACAGGCATGCACCACCATGCCCAGCAATTTTTTTTTTTTTGTATTTTTACATGTTTTACCATGTTGTCCAGGATGGTCTTGATCTCTTGATTTCGTGATCCGCCTGCCTCAGCCTCCCGAAGTGCTGGGATTACAGGCATGAGCCACCATGCCTGGCCTGCCTTCTGAATCTTAACCTCCTTGGTCACCATGTGGCGCTGCTGCCACCCACTGACGGTGTCCATGCACCTGCCCAGCAGTGGCCTGAGGGGCTCTGCGGATGCCCCAGTGGGCAGGGTTTCTCACTGTCCCCATCCCAGGACAAGGAGGCAAGTGTGGGGAGGCCGCTATCTCTAGGGCCACTAGGACTGAGGCTCCTGGCCAGCTTGGAAACAGATCCAGCACAGAGAAATCAGACTTTGGGGTGGAGGCCTGCGATCTAAAGGCCATCTTATTTCTTCTCCCACTTTTTCTGGGTGACTTCTTGGTATTTGGGGTTTTTCAGTGACAGCTGGGGTGATAGGCCAGGTTGAGCCTGTGGCTCCGGGGTCCAAAGAGAAAAGAGGGCAGAAGTAAGAGAAGATGGCCTTTATTGCAGCACGAACCAATAAAGGGGGACTCCATGTCAACAGCTCTCCAGGAGCTGCCAAAGGCGATGGGCCTGCCCTGTCCCTGCAACAGGTTCTCCAGGGGCTAGAGCATGGCTCCCCTCAGAAAGGGCAAGGTGTGCTTGTAAACAGGGGCCCAGACAACACGGAGAAAGGAGGCAGCATCACCGGGCGCAGCTTTGCTACAAGAAAGATAGTTCTTCATTTCAAAGAGGAGACACCGCCACACCTAGCCCTGCCCTCCCACGCACTGGAAGGCTCTGGAAGTAGCTCCCGCCTGCCTGGGGAGTTAGGCCACCCACTGCCCGTGAGCTGGAACCAGGCACACTGCAGCCCCACAAAAACGCTGGCAGCTGACTCCTAATTTCAGAAACACAATTAGAAAAGAACTGGAATTTTACATTTTTCTCCCATACATTAAAAAATAAGAAAAAGTCAACATTTTGACTGTAGACCCTGGTAGGTGGCATCTGACTTTAACCTGAAGTTCTCCTTGGAATCCTTTTCTGTCGGTGCTCCGCCGTCCACAATCAGTCCCAGCCCCAGGCGCCCCTTGCTGAAGGATCCTGGCCCATCTCAGACGAGGGCGGGACTCTGCAGACTGCCCAGCGAGCAGGGCAACCACTGGGAAGACAGATACCGACTTCCCTGTCGGGGCTGTGACCCTCAGCAAACGGAAAAGTTAACAGTGGCCTCCTGCCAGGACCTCAGCAGGAGGTTTGCTGGTGAAGGTCCTGGGTGAGCTGGAATGGGTGATAAGGCAGGCTTGCCTGGTGGTGGCCTCAGGCTGCTCCTGGGCCCCCGTTGCATAGAGCCCTGTGGGTGCAGTGTGGGGCCCCACACCCATTTCGAGGTCATCCTCATGCATAAGAGCAGAGACCCCGGAAGAGAAACCGGCCTGCACTGTGTGACTGACACAGGGCTCCCAGACGCTTCCCGGTGGAACCCTGCTCCCGAGGACACCTTGTCTCACTCCACGGAACCCTTCCCCCAGCACCCCTGGAAACACAGCAGCCAGGAACAAATTCTCCACACCAGGAACGAAGCCCTTGGCTAAACTGGAGACTCATCAGTGCACGGATGGTGGTGAGGGGTGAGGGCAGGGCCTGGGGTGGTGCTCAGCCCGGGGGGCACCATCACTGTCCTGCTCTGACCCACAGGTGGGAGGAGGACGCTGTGCTCCCAGAGTGTGAGGCCGGGAGGATGGCTCGGGAGGACAGAGGCCTGGGGCTGAGGCTATGCCCAGAGCTGGTGTGGGGAGGGGCATGGGGGCCTTTGCAGAAGTAGCTCAGAGAACTGAGGTTGGAATCCTGCCCCAAGCACAGGTTTTGGGGACAGTGAGTGCCTAGACAAGGCAGGTAACGTGGCAGCCGCTGGGCTGGTCCAGAAACAAGGTGCTGAAGACGTCGTTGAAGAAGGTGGGGTGGTACCTGCAGGCTCGCTCACAGTCGGGGTTGAAGTTCACCTCCAGGATCTGCGGCTGCATCACCCGCTTTCCTGACGGCAAAGAGCACAGCAGAGAGTGAAGGCTCGGTGGCTTCACTCTGCAGGGCCAAAGGCCTGGGGACCCAGCAAAGGCTGGGGAGGCCGTGAACCTGGGCCCTGATTCCCAGGGGATGAGCAGGGCAAGCCCGGACCTAGAACTTGGGTCTCTTGACTTTGTTGGGGAGGCCTGGCCTGACATCTGCTTCTCCAGGAGAGGCCAGGGCTGCCTCTAGCCCTAGGGATGACAGCCTGGCCCTTTAGGCTTGGATGTTCAGTTTAGTAAAAAAAAAAAAAAGCAGACATGCAGCAGCAGTGGAGAGTGTGTGGGTCTGGCACAGGGGAGGCCGGCCAGGGTGGTGTGGGTTGGGGTCAGGGTGCCTTTCACATGGGTCTCCTGTGCTGTGAGCTCTTCCCCGACACACAGGCCCAACCTGCAGCTTGTCCCCTACAGTCTCTGCACGGCAGGCACTTCCCTTCCCTGTGGGCTGAGCCAGGGCTTTCCCCAACCCAGATTCCTGGCTGATTCAAACCACAGGACAGCCTGGGGCAGCCCCCTGCCTTCTCCAGGCATGTGGCTGGCTGGCAGAGGGGGCGCCTGCTGGTTTGGATCAGGAGATGGGGCGCCCCTCTTACCATCTGGGCCGTTGTCCCACTTCAGCATGAGGTCGACGGCATACATGGCCCGGGATGAGGGGTAGTCGCAGAGGCCCAGGGGCGGTGGCTTGGCACAGGCCACCTGGAACAGCTCCGTGAAGGCCCGGAAGATCTCAGCCTGGGGACCGAGGAGGCTGAGTCACAAGGCCTGCTCACACAGCCTCCCAATGGGGGTCTGCTGCCCCTGTCGAAGCCCCGGGCCCCACATGGTCCAAGTCACCCCTTCCCACATCTTCACGTCTCTAGACCTCACCATGGCCGCCTCCACTCAGCACCTGGCCTCTTACTCCTGGCGCCCACCTTCTGCAAATCTGCCCATCTCCTGCCTCAGACCCCCTGTGGCTCCCCACTGCCCCAAGGAGTTCAACACAGCACCCAGAATGCTGCTGCCGGACATGGGGGCCCAGCCTGCGTCTCCAGATGACTGGGATTCCGCGCTCAGGCAGTGCTGCCGCCCTCTGGCTGTCCCAGGGGTGCCCCACCAGCCCCTCCAGCTCCCTCCCTCTCAGAAGCACCCACAAACGCCCAGGGTGGAAAGGGAGGGGAGCCCACGCTGTCTCGCCAGCCTCTGGGGAGAAGGACCAACTGCAGAGGACAAAGGTCCCTCCTAGCCCACACCAGTCGAGAGGGAGGAGAGCGGCTCCTGCAGGCCCCCAGGCCGGGACCCGCCCCACTGGCCTGCGATGGTGTGCAGGGCAGGACTTACCTGGACGTCCGTCCAGGGAAATTCTGGGTATTGCTTCTCAAACTCGGGGATGAACTCTTCACAGTGCACCTGCAACAGACACAGGGCCCATCACACTCCGCGCAGAGTCCACATCACGCTCCGCAGAGTCCACATCACGCTCCGCAGAGTCCAAATCACGCAGGGCCCATCACGCCCCACACAGGGTCCATCATCGCGCCCCGCACAGGGCCCATCATCGCGCCCCGCGCAGGGCCCATCATCGCGCCCCGCGCAGGGTCCATCATCGCGCTCCGCACAGGCCCTGCTGGGCCGGGGAGCAGGCAGCCTGCCACTGCCTGGACCAGAAGCTTCTGACATTGGCTGGGGGTTCCAAGAGCAGGCAGCCAGCCCCAGCCCCTCAGGGTCCAAACAGAAGGTAGGAGATGGAGTCTGGGCTCCAGGTCTCACTGCGTGACTCCGGACAAACGGATTAACTTCTCTGAGCCTGTTTCCTCCTCTGTGAAGTGGAAAAATGTGCCCTGCCCAGTAAACTGACTTTGCCAGGCGGCTGTGAGGCTCACGCGAGACACTGAACATCGAGAGCTCCAGAAACTGCAGGGCCTGAGCCGGCACCCACCCTCACACTCAGCTCAGTACAGTGCCAAGGAGGCGGAGCTCAGAACACCCCGCGGGACCCGCCTGTGCCCCGGCTCAGCACCAGCTCGGAGTGCTTGAGGGACGCAAGATCTTTTTGGCCTCAAGACTTTACCCAAAACACACCCGATGAAGGTGGCAGTCGGCTCAGGTTTCTCCCAGTAAAGGACAAGCCAGGAAAGGCCCCTACGGAAGCCCGCCATCCACGCCGTGCTGGATGCACGTCCCCAGGCACAGGGCTCCAGGAGAGGTCTCTTGGGATGATCCCCGCAGTACAGAAGGGAGGGGCTCGGAACCTGAGGGCGACTTCCAGCAACGTCCTGGGGCCCTGCTGAGGGCTCTCGGTCCTACGGAGTAGGCTTCAACACAGGCAAGGATAAGAGGGACAGAAGCAACAGGACCGCTGGGCCCCGTGAGGAGTGTGTGCTGGTACAGTCACCAGGGCATGGCAGGGCCCTTTCTCCAAGTCCTCCTAGAGGACTCCTCAGACTTGGGCAATGGACAGGAGCCTCCACGCGTGTTCACGTGCCATGGTTTATTGTTAGCGAAGACCTCGGATAACCACCTGCAGCCACACTTAGCAACAACCCTGAGCCTCAAAACATGCCACTCAGCCAACAAAGTAAGCTGCAGAAGGATCTGTTCCATAAGATGATATTGACATAAAAACCTAAGTAGGAGGCCGGGCGTGGCGGCTCATGCCTGTAATCCCAGCACTTTGTGGGGCCGAGACAGGTAGATAGCTTGAGTCCAGGAGTTTGAGACAAGCCTGGGCAACATGGTGAAACCCTGTCTCTACTAAAAATACAAAAAATTAGCTGGGCGTGGAGGCACGTGCCCGTAGTCCCAGCTACTTTAGGGGGCTGAGGCAGAAGGATGGCTTGAGCCCAGGAGACTGGGATTGCAGTGAGCCGAGATCACGCCTCTGCACTCCAGCCTGGGTGACAGAGTGAGACATTGTCTCTCAACAAAACAAAACAAAACAAAAAACTTAAGTAAGCAAAACAGCAGCTTGAGTGGTCAGGGACATACTTGTGCTGAAAAGAATCAAGACACGCCTGGGAATGACAGCTACACAATTCAGGCGCCGGGGAGCGTTGGGGCTGGCTGCATGGGGAGTCCAGGGCGCCTGCAAGGCTGGTGATAGGCAGGGTGGGGTAGGTGTTTTGTGCATCTGAAACACTCATTAACCAGCCAGGTCACAGAAGCCTTCCAGGACTTCCTTTCTTCCTTCCTGTACCCAGAGCTGGCCTCTCGCTTCTGTGGAAGCTGTGCCTACCTGTCCCCGTGCACTGGCTGGCCAGCTCTGGTTTCTCGCCCCCACCTTGGAAGGGCCTTTGTACAGATGCCCCTGAGCTCCAGGTGCTCAGATGGTGGAGCTGCCATTCACTAAGTGCCCACTGCACAGGGCACTGCTCAGCACCGTGCACCAGGGAGGACAGGAGGTCCTAGACCCGGGCAGGGTCACGGGCCAGCAGGCAGCTGGAGCAGGTGGGGCCTCTCAGCATATGCGTCTCTGTGCCTCCCGGCCCTGCCTGCCCTGGCGCTCACAGGGTGGTGTGCTTTTCCGGTTGAAGTGGCGGTGAGGATTAAGCCCTGGCTGGGAACACACTGTCTCAACCTGCTGCTGGCCACATCCCCCTGTGTCCGCATCATCTCAAACACAGCGAGTACCCGGAGGCCTACCTGAGACAACAGAGAACCCAGCCCGGCTCATCTTGGCAGGGCTAACAATCACCTTCCATAGCAGGAACTCAGGAGGCGGCTCCTGGGACCCGCCCGTGTGCCAGTCCTCCCAGGAGGCAGTGTGGGCGGGGTGGGGTCTGGGTGTGCCCTGGCCTCCGTGTGAACCTGCTCTGCACCTCTCTCAGGCCCTACCTGCTTCAGCACCACGTCCGGGTCGTAGTTCATGACTGTGAAGTGCTTCTCGTAGTCATCTAGGTCGTTGAGTGCGAAGGCCCTGGGAGACAAGCGCGTGTGGGTTCTTGAGCCAGCCTTGTCCCTGCGAGGGAGGTGCCACCCACCCAACCTTCCCAGCTAGGGGCTCAGGGCTTGGGGCAGGACCACCTGCTGCCCAGGCAGGAGCCTGTTTCCTTGTTTGTGTGGGTGGGGGAGCCCCACGGCCTCACTGAGCTGCGGTGGAGGTGAGTGAGATACTAGCTGTGAAGTCTCTGCAGGTCCATAAAAACGGCACCTGGTTCTTTTACAAAGAATGTTCACATCCATTACTGTGGGCAATGCCAGAACTCTGATGTGGGCAGGGCAAGTCACTGCCAACTACCACGAAGGGAGACAAGCTCCAAGGGCTGCTTGTGGGGTGAGTGATGGAGGGCACCTTCCAACTACACTTTCTGATTCCAAAAAGGGCCCATCGCCCACCCGCTACCTTCACCCGGTCCCCCAGCTCCCTGACCCTGGACCCAGCCGCCCCTCCACTTACCGGTTGGAGAACCGCAGCCAGAATACATCATACACGAACAACCGCAGGGGCTTCACTGACCGCAGCAGCACGATGTAGCGGATGTCAAACTTCACCTTTCCCACGTCTTCTCGAAGGAACAATACAGGACTTTCAATGTACTTGGACACAACCTGGAGGACACAGGCGCAAGCTCACTGGTGGCCCTCGTCTCCCCTCTGCTGGGCCAGGACAGAGCACTCTGGGGCTCCTGAGCACACAAAACCACGCAGGGGCAAAGACAGGGCTGTACTTTACTCCTCCTTCTGCCTTTTCAAACCTGCCAAGGTAGCCGCAAAGTCTTTTTTTTTTTTTTTTTGAGACAGTCTCGCTCTGTCGCCCAGGCTGGAGCGCAGTGGCGTGATCTGGGCTCACTGCAAGCCCCACCTCCTGGGTTCAGGCCATTCTCCCGCCTCAGCCTCCTGAGTAGCTGGGACTACAGGTGCCTGCCACCATGCCAAGTTTTTGTATTTTTAGTAGAGACGAGGTTTCACCGTGTGGGCCAGGATGGTCTCGATCTCCTGACCTTGTGATCTGCCCGCCTCGGCCTCCCCAAGTGCTGGGATTACAGGTGTGAGCCACTGTGCCTGTGCCCGGTCCTTTTTTTTTTTTGAGATGGAGTTTCATTCTGTCACCGAGGCTGGAGTGCAATGGCACAATCTCAGCTCACTGCAACCTCCGCCTCCCAGGTTCAAGTGATTCTCCTGCCTCAGCCTCCCAAGTAGTTGGGATTACAGGTGCCCCCCACCACCCCCAGCTAATTTCTGTATTTTTAGCAGAAAGGGGTTTCTCCATGTTGGCCTGGCTGGTTTCGAACTCCTGACCTCAGGTGATCTGCCCACCTTGGCCTCCCAAAGTGCTGGGATTATAGGCGTGAGCCACCACGCTCTGCAGCAAAGTCTTTATATCCATTTTTAATTGAAATGGAATATAAATTCTCACCCATAATTCCATCCACCCCCACCCCACAGCCTGAAGTCTCCATTACAATCCCCCTTGTGATGCATTTCCTGCCAGCCTCTGACAAGGTATACAGCCCAGGCGGATTCTGTGCCCTGCAATCCCAACACTGCCTCTGGATGTCCCCTCACTACGAATCTTTACCACGGCTCTGAGAGGCTCCTTGTCCAGGCTCAGCCACCTCATCCTGCTGGGTCGCCATACCTGGCACGCTATGTGGTAGGGACTTGGAGGGTAGACGCACCCAGGACAGTTCTTTTTTTAAAGACAGGGTCTTGCTCTGTCACCCAGGGTGGAGTGCAGTGGCACGATCGCAGCTCACTGCAGCCTCAATCCCCTGGGCTCAAGTGTTCCTCCACTTCCCAGAGTGCTGAGATTATAGGTGTAAGCCATCTTGCCCAGCCTGGACCTGTCCCTGAGGACCATGACACTTGGTCCCCTCTGCCCCACCTCTCACTGTCCAGCCAGGGCCCTGAGCCCCGGGGCTCCTGGGCTGCAGGGCCCACCTTTGGGGTGCTCTCTCGGTGCCGGATGATGCTGTGCAGGTTCTTGGTGACGTGGGTGTCCAGGCTGCGAGCCAGGTTCCAGGGCTTGCAGATCCAGTGGTTGTCCTCGCCCCTGGGGAGCAGAAGGGCTGTCTGGGTGGCACCTGGGGCCTGTGTTCCCACATGGTGCCACCCCAGGACACAGCGGCAGAAGTGGGTGGCCCACTTCTCCTTGGGAGCTGAGTGGGCACCAGAGAGGAGCTGTCAAGAGGCAGGGGCTTGGGGAACGAGGAGGGGTTGGCCAGAGCCCACGGAGCTGCGCTGCGGTGGAGAGGACAGCCCCAGCAAAAGCCTGGAGAGGTCCTGCAGTCCATGAGGCCAGTCGTGACATTCGGGGCCCAGAGCTCAGCTCCCACACCACGGTTTCCACAGTGGGTGCTCACGGAGGAGCAGGTGGACACAGAGGCTGGGCTGGGGGAAAGGGCCATGGAGCGTGCCGATACCGTGTCTGAGACTTACCACCGTTCCCGCTGCTGGAAGTAGCTGACAAACTGGGGCAGCTCGGTGCGCAGGTTGAAGGTTCGGGGCAGCCAGGGTGGGCCCTCGGGGCCGCCGGCCCGGCGCGCTATGGAGGCCAGGCAGTCCTTGACAGTCAGCAGGTTCTCGCAGGGGAACTGGTTCAGCAGCACACCCGGCCTCTCCTGGCTGAGTTTCCTGCAGGGCGGAGGCAGGTGCGCCAGCTCAAGGGGTGGCCGGCGGTGCCTAGAGGCCCTGACTGGGAGGACTCCTGTGGCCAGAAGTGCCCTCACCTGTAGTCCTTGAAGTGTGAGAAGTTGAACAGGATGTCGGCATCTGCCTCGCTCTGGGTGAGGGTGAAGCGCGGGTGGGTGAGGCTGCTGGCCACCTGCTGCACATCCGTGTAGACCCTGTGGGGAGACCCCGAGCTGGGTGACCCCGGCTCCTAAGTGTCCAAGTGGGACTCCAGCACCAGCCCTAGCTCAGGGACTCCCCTCCCTGTTTTGAAGCTAATGAGGCAGAGGCGAGTCCTGGGTTCGAGTCACGATGTTGGACAGCCCAGGTTCAGAACCTGCTCCCTCCGATCTGCCGAGGGAGGGGGGCAACCCGTACCCTTGTGACTCCTGGTTCCCCATCTTCAGGACTGGACCACACCGTCCACCTCACATTTGTCGTTAAAATTAAATGGCATAATTTGGGTGTTTATTATGTGCTAGTTCTTTCCTCTCACATGGAAAAAGGATGAACCCATGGCCTCCAATTTCACACGGGCCTCTGCCCCAGAGGAGGTGGAGGGACCTTAGGCCCCAGCCAGGTCACCACCAGACTCATGTCCCAGCAAGAGCCCCTGGGCTGCCCAGCTGGGGCAGAGGCCAGCAGGAGGAAAGCCCTCAGGCCCAGTGGAGGGGACAGAGTGGAGCAGGCTGCCTGTTCCTGGCTGGACCAAATTTAGGCAGCCAAGGGGAGTATCTGGGAGCCTCAGAGAGGAGCTCCTGTGAAGGCTAAGGCGGAACCTGCTCTGCATCTCTGGGTCCTCACCTGTGCCTATTTCCACAAGGTGTCCAGCCTGGACCTGCTGGCCTGGCCTTCCTTAACTCACCAGCCACACCTGCAGCCTCTCGGGAGGGGCCCCTCCTGGCAGCCCAGGTGCCTGTTGTAGGTGCCCAGCATGTTCCCAGCCAGCAAAGGCTCCCTGCTTTGGGGAGGGCCGGCACGCACAGGCCTGGCTGGTGTCGGGTTCCAGGACTGGAGGAGCATGGCATCCGGGTAAGTGGAGCAGCCCCATGGCATGCAGGGTTGGTAACGGGACCCCTTGGTGCCCAGAGGACGGGGTGGGATGGGGACCAGTGGTGGCCGACGCTTCTGCCCAGGAGACCCCTTTACCCACTGCCAGCATTTCCATGGCCTATTCCTATTTTTTTTTTTTTTTTTTGAGACGGAGTCTCGCTCTGTCGCCCAGGCTGGAGTGCAGTGGCGCGATCTCGGCTCACTGCAAGCTCCGCCTCCCGGGTTCTGGCCATTCTCCTGCCTCAGCCTCCCGAGTAGCTGGGACTACAGGCGCCCGCCACCGCGCCCAGCTAGTTTTTTATATTTTTAGTAGAGACGGGGTTTCACCGTGGTCTCGATCTCCTGACCTTGTGATCCGCCCGCCTCGGCCTCCCAAAGTGCTGGGATTACAGGCGTGAGCCACTGTGCCCGGCTTTTTAACTTTCAAGGATGTTTTTATTTCTTTTTTTTTTAAGAAGGAGTCTTGCTCTGTAGCCCAGGCTGGAGTGCCGTGGCCTGATCTCAGCTCACTGCAGGAAGAGCCTTCAAACGATTCTTCCTCCTCAGCTTCCCGAGTAGCTGTGATTACAGGCGCCCGCCACCGTGCCATACTTTTTTTTTTTTGTATTTTTAGTAGAGACGGGGTTTCACCCTGCTGGCCAGGCTGGTGTTCTGGTGTTGAACTCCCAACCTCAGGTGATCCGCCTGGCTGGGCCTCCCAAAGTGCTGGGATCACAGGCGTGAGCCACCACGCCTGGCCTCATGGGTGAGGTGTGAAACCTGGGGGGCGGAGGTTGCAGTGAGCTGAGATCGTGCCACTGCACTCCAGCCTTGGTGACAGAGAGATTCCGTCTCAAAAAAAAAACCAAAATCTCCAGAAAGCCCAGCTCACTCTTGCACTTTCCGCGGCATTTTCTCTGGGATCCCAAGAACTACTCCCTGCACTTGTCACTGCAGTGCCCAGACAGGACACAGCTGACTTGCTGTGCGCCACGTGCCATGCCCCAAGCACTGTTCTGGGGCTGTGGGAACCACGAAGCGTGGGAGGTGGCGACTGGGGACAAGTCTCAGGCCAAGGAGTGGGGGCTACGCACTTGAAGATGTGGTCGTGGGGGTGCACTACGGGGTTGATGTCAAGTGGCAGCTTCTCCTTGTTTTCCTCCAGAATGGCCTAGAAGGAAACACATTGGAGGTAGAGATGAGGTCAAGGAAGGGAGGGAAAGGCCTGGCGTGGTGGCTTATTCCCATAATCCCAGCACTTTGAGAGGCCAAGGCAGGTGGATCACATGATGTCAAGAGTTCAAGACCAGCCTGGCCAACATGGCAAAACCCCGACTCTACTAAGAATATAAAAATTAGCTGGGTGTGGTGGTATGTGCCTGTAATCCCAACTACTCAGGAGGCTGAGGCAGGAGAATCGCTTGAACCCAGGAGGCGGAGGTTGCAGTGAGCCGAGATCACGCCACTACACTCTAGCCTGGGAAAGAGTGAGAGACTCCATCTCAAAAAAAAAAGAAAAGAAAAGGAAGAGAGGGAGGGGACACAAGGCTCCCTGCCTGGCGTCAGGTTCTATGGCCTCACGGGGCGTATGGCTGCTCCTCCCTCCCAACACCCCAAAGCCTCTAACCACCCCCTCACCCCAGGATTCTGGGGGTCCAGGCCCCTCAGGTGCTGAACAGTCTTAGTTTGGTATCAAAAGAACAAGGTAAACATTGTTGCACATCTTCTCAATGCTACCTCGAAATCACATGGGAAAGAAGGTGCTAAACTGCTCCTGGGAGGAGCCGCTTGGTCCTAGGAGCCCTGTCCGGAGCTTCAGCAGTGTGATGATTTAAAACATGGCCATGTGGATGCACATGGTGGCTCAAGCCAGTAATGCCTGCACTTTGGGAAGCTGAGATGGAGGACTACCTGAGCCCAGGCGTGTAGGACCAGCCTGGGCAACATACTGAGACCCCGTCTCTACAGAAAAATTAAATAATTAACGGGGCTTGGTGGCCGTTGCCTGGAATTCCAGCTACTTGGGAGGCTGAGGCAGGAGGATTGCCTGAACCCAGGAATTAGAGGTGGCAGTTAGCTAGGATGATGCCACTGTACTCTAGCCTGGACAAAAGCAAGACCCTATCTTAAAAAAAAAAAAAAAAAAAAGATGAAAACATGCCTACAAACTCTTTGACACTCTCTTCCAAAGGCAGAGCCGCATCCATCTCTGAGTTGCTTCTAATAAGCAGGAAAAGGGTGGAAGGGACAGGGTTGCTTCTGTGACAAGGCCATGAAGCCCAAGGCTTCCTCTTCACTCTCTCCCTCGGATCACTTGCTCTGGGAGAAACCAGGTGCCACATTCTGGGGATACCTGAGCACTCCTACAGAGAGGCCCACAAGGCAGGGAGCCCAGGCCTCCTGCCAACAGCCAGCACCAACACAGCAGGCATGCACATATGCCGTACAGAAGCGGGTGCGCAGCCCAACGGGCAGCCTGTGTACCTCGAGGGAGACCTGAGGCCAGAGGCACCCCACTGAGCCACTCCTGAACTCCTGGCCCACAGAAATCGTGTGAGATAATAAATGTTTGCTGTTTTAAGGTGCTAAGTTTTAGAGTTACTTGTTACTCAGCCACAGCTAATCGATACAGGCAATCCTGGGCCCAGAGCACAGACCTGATTGTGAAGGGTCAAATGGGAAAAAAACAAGGACACCTGGCCTTGTATCTTCTCCTTTTCCTGGTCAGAGCAGAGCTTCCCAAGGAAAAACACGAACTTTTAGTTCATGTTCCATTAACAAACAACCCCAAGACCAGGAAGCGTTTGTCCCTCCAGTTGCATCCACAAACGCATTCACTTTTTCAGGCAAACGTGTACTAAGCACCTTCCTGGTGCAGGGGCTCCGGGAGGCTTGTAAGCACCCTTTGAACCAATAAGACTGACTGCCTTGTTTTTGGCATGGTTGGTTCAATCATCACTGACTTAGACCGAAAGTGAAAGGAGGCCCCCCCTACAGCCCACCCCTGCGGTGAGGAGTGCCCACACAAGCACACGACCACTCCACGCGCCCACTCATCTAACCCTTCCCACAACCCTCCGAGGCACTTAGTGAGTGCTTGGTGTGCAAAAAGGACGACTTCAGTCACCGTGGGGCAAGCCGGCAGCCTCAGCCCACAAGCCGCCAGGTCCCCTTGGTTCTGGACTCCAGCTCTTCCACCTGCTGTGTGACCCTTGGCAAGTGATTTAACCTCTCTGTGTCTCAATGTCCTCATCCTCAGTAAAATGAAGATAAAAACAAAACTGTAAAATTGTAAGGAACTGAGTGGCATATGGCCACAAAGTACTAAGCACAGGCTCCCCTGTAGGCTGGTTCCAGCCTACGGAAGCAGCAACAGATGAGAGGGGAAGGGGAGGAGAGACGGGTCAGGGGAGGAACCCCCTACCCAGCCCTGACTGGTCCTGGAGGTGGCTACGTTCCCATAGGCTCCTCTTCCTCCCCTGGCACTGGGGCCTCGCCAACTCTGGCTCCCTAACCCGCCAGCCTCTTTGTATGGGGCCTGGATGAGCTCTTACCTCCAGCCAGGCACTTCCAAGTGGCCCAGCTGGGTCCCTTGGGGCCCTGAGCGAGACTGAAAGCACTTTTGTTATCAATTAACAGTGACCCTGATGGTAACTTGCAGGCCTGCTGAGTGAGGGAGGCACACGATATGTGAACATAGGGTGTTTCTGTGCCTCGGTGAGATGAGGACGGGGCTGAGTGGGGTTCATGGCCAACACCAACTGCACAGCCCCCTCCTTCCTGAGGGAGCAGCATGGACCCTCTGAGGACGGACACCAGCACCAGGTACCCTGGGATCTGGAGCCCCAGTCGCACATCCACAGGCAGCTTGTGTTCACTCTCTGAGCTCCTCGTCTCTCAGAGGCTCCCAAAACTCTCTATGCCTCCCATGGTAACTGGCTCAGGGCCTGGCACCCGGCTGGGGTTCCATAATATTTGGTGTCTGCACAGAGAACATTCTGGAAGCTACCAAGCAGACAGGCCCGGGGGTGGAGGAGGGCCGCACCTGGTAGTGCTCGGCGGGTGGCTCAGGCGTGCAGGAGCTGAGGTCCAGCATGTCGGTGGGGGCCCAGGGCAGCAGCATGCACTTCCGGATCAGGGGGTCTGTCTCTCCGTAGGCAAAGTCTCGGGTCACCTCCTCTGTGCCAAGACATGCGTGCTCATCAGAGAGGGTGACAGGACACTGGGCTGAGGCCCCTCTTCCAGGGTGGGCAGGTGCTGGACTTACCGCCAGTGTCCAGGTCCCTCAGGGGCCACAGCAGCGTGTAGGCCAGCTGCTGGGGCATGTAGAAGAAGGGTGCCGTGGCGAAACTGGGCACGTCCGCGTGCTGGATCCGTGAACCGAACTCGTCCATGATATACCACACTGGCATCTTCTCCTCGGCTGTCTGCAGACAGAGCACATGTGGTACTCCTCGCTCACCCGTCCAGCTACTGGAACTCCCTTCCGGAACCCAGACATCGAGCACCCATCAGCCCACAGCTACCTCTCTGATCTTGGAGGCCCTCTCACATATACCCCAGGCCCTTTAGCTAAGCTAGGGGCTCCGGGACAGCAGCCCTGCCTTTGCAGACCGGGACACAGGCCTGGGTAACGCAGTGTGACAACTCGTGGTAAAAGGGTGTTTGGTAACAAGGCACACAGCCCGGCACCCGTAGGGTTGTATCTGGGTTTGTGGGTAATTGGGGGGTGGGGGGAGTAGTCTTTGAGCTCAAGGAAGGCTCCCTGGAGGAGGTGACATCTAAGCTAAAATCATGAGAAACAAGCAGGAGTCTTTTCCTGAACTAAGAGTGGTGAGGGGCTGGAGCACAGGGTGAGTCCGCAGAGAGGCCAACAGGGGTGGGTGAGGGATGGTTGAGGGCTTTTAAGAGAGTGACAGAATCACAGGCGCCAGGAAAGAGGCAGTTGAGTCATCTGGGCCCTCTGAGTTTAGGAGTCTGAGAGGGCTGTGTCCTGCGAGCTCAGAGGTCCCCAGGATAGCATGCTCCTTAGGAAGCCACAGGAGAAAGTGAGCTATTTGCTCTGGAGAGCCCCTCACCCGGCCTGATGGCACAGGGCAGCAGAGGTCTGTGCCCATGCCTGTCCTCCCCGTCCCCAGGGCCCAGCTACCCACTCACCCCATGGGCCAGCTGGTAGGTCTGGTTGAACTTCCACATCTCCTCCAGTACCAGGGCCACAGCCTCCGCACTGGGCAGCTCACCGTGGAACTCAATGCCCATCAGGTTGGCCATGCGGTGCAGCAGCCCGGGCACCTGCTGCAGCTGCTGGCGTGCATGCTCCACACGGCACGTCCAGGCATGGTCGATGAGGAAGATGCTGCAGGCACAGGCCACAATGTGAGGCTGCCGGGCAGGCACGGGGCAAAGGGAAGTGGGGGGAGGAAGAGGCCCAGGGCTGTGTTGGGACCAGGACTCAAGCTTCCTGAGATTTGGTCTACCGGGTGCCATAGTTATGCCCAGTTTGGACTCCAGTGGGCCTGGGTTAGGTGCTGGCGCTGCTGTTCACTGCCTGTGTGATCCTGAGCAAGCGCCTCCTCCTCTTCAAGCTTCTCAAACAGGGCAGCAGGGGTGTCTACCGCCTGTCACCAGGCTGTCACAAGCAGCAGATGAGACCAGATATGTGGTATACCCACTGTCCACCAAGCACTTACAATAAACACACCAGCAGTCACTAGCATGAACCTGGACCTCGGGCCACTGCAGGGCTGGCCCATGCTTCCCATCTTGCTGCCTGCAGGCCGGGCACACCACAGCTGCTCAACAAAAGCGAAGGCTCTACACGCCGGGGGCCAGCGCAGGCAGACAGCACGGGGGCCACCACACGCCTCACCCATGCAGCCAGGTCTTCTGGAAGCACCAAGGCTTTTCTGTGGGAGAGGCTTCCAGTCCCCGCACACAGGACCCCTGCAGCTGAGCTCCTACAGAAGCAGGTTGGGGCTGTAGCACAGGACGAGCCGTCCCTACCCTGTAGGACACAGGGCTGACCATAATCCTCCCAGAGCCCTGCCGGATTAGGAGGCACCAAACAGGTGCCTAATGGGCAAAGCAGTCCCCAGCTTGCCTCCGTCTCTGTCCCCTTTTTAAAATGAAAGGGACAGTCAATGTTCCAGTTCTTAGGCTGGGGGGCAAGTTCAAGAGTATTTATCTTCTTGTGCTTACATGAGTTTTGTTGGCCCGTCTTAAATAAGTGGGTTTACTCTTGTGCTTGTGCTAGAGTGGGTGACCACAGGACGCAGGGCAGAGCCAGGCCTTCGGGGTGACCCTTGGCACGTGCAACAAGGGGTGCTGTACAAAGAGAGGTATGGGGATGAGGATGGAAAGCTTGTTGGGGCCTGGCAATCAGGGGAGACTCAGGGGGATGAAGGCCTGGAAGCAGAAAGGCCCAGAAGCAGGTAGGGCTGAAATGAACGCTCAGGCTCCAAATCCAAGACTCTGGATTCCCAGCCTCCCACCACCCCACCCACAGCACGGCTGGCAGCGGGTTCTGTGGTTGTAGGCCTGAGAGAGAATGTGAGCTGGGAGCTCCACGGGCAGCCACTGCATTGAATTCACCTGTTCCTGGGCCTGAGCGGCACAAAACTCACTTCACTGAACCTGAAGGGGAGGGTGAGCCCGAGCACGCATGGGCGGGGGTGCTGGACTCTCCATATTTCTGGGGTGACTTGCCCACTCACAGCTGGAGGAGGAGGTGGGAGAAGCTCTGCAGAAGGGACCAGACCCCTGCCCAAAGAGCTGTGCATGGACACAGGGGCTCGGCAAGTTTCTCCGAGGGTCCACAAAACCTTTGGCCGACGGGCCCGCAGGCCTGTCCTAGGGATAGCCACTCTTGGTCCCTAGGGGCAGGAAGCCTGGGGTACAGTCTCAGCTCTGCCCTAACTACTCCATGGCCCTTGGCAAGGCCAGGCCTGCTCTGGGTTTCAGGTCCTCAGGTGTTCCAGGACCCAGCCCAGATTCCAATTCAGCAGGACCAGAAAGGGGCTGTGACCGGGGAGGGTAAGGCTGACCTGCACCCTTAACCTGGAGGGTGACCTCGGGCAAAACGAACTCCTAATGCCCTGTGGCAGGACCTCTGTGACAATGACACTTCTGGGAGAGGCTGTCAGGCCACAGTCCATCTGGTCACCATAAGAATGCTTTGTGTTGCCATGGACACTACTCTGAAGCCCGGATGGACACACCACTGGCCACATGTGCTTTTGCCACAAAGCCGTCCTGAGGAAGATGTCCAGCGGAGGTGCAGGGCCCAGGAGAATCTGCATTACTGCATCTCCGACCTTCCACCAGGTGAAGGTCATGGTGGTGTCTCTGGCCAGGCTCCTACCTGTTGGGGTTGGCTGCCTGGAGCCCGCTCTCCCTGGTCACGATGACCTTGTAGCACAGCTCGCTCCCCGGGTTGGGCTGCTTCTTCCGCACCTCCCTGGCGGCCTCATCCTCCTCCTCTTCTACTTCCTCCACTTGCATGATCCCAAACACTTCCCCAGCGTCGAAAACCTGGGGGCCAGAGCTCAGGTCAGCAAGGGCATGGGCAGGAGACCCTACCCCTAATGCCTTCACCACTGGCTCCAGAAAGCCACCCAAGGTGCCACACCCAGACCTCAAAGACAAACTTGTCTCCTTCAGAGGAGTGGGACCTGTTTAATGCAACTACACACAGTCTTATGGGCAGGCAGATTGAAGCTCCTGGAGATTTCAGGGTCAGAATGGGGACCTAACATACTCCACCATCGCCTGAGCTGTCATCCAGAGCCCCTTGTCCCATGGGATGCTGTGCATGGAGACGGGACCTCGAGGACTGGCTGGAGGTATCTGTAGTCCACCCTCTTCACATTACGGGGAAAGAGAGGCCCCAAAGGCAGAGAAGTCAATGGAAGAGTCAGGATCTTGGTGGCTGGGGGCACACCCCAATGTGCCCCTCACAGAAGAACCCTTCAACACTAGGACAGCTGAGTCAACTCACAGAGAAGCCTCCTCCAGCCCAGCCCCATCCACTCCAGGCCAACAGGAAGCGAGGCCCCAGGTCAAGGTGGGACGGGAAGATAAGGGCCTTGGTCCTGCCTCACATGGCTAGTCAAGCAGGCAAGTGACCTCTTCTGGTGTGCGTGGAGCAGAGGGGTCCCTGACCCAGCCACACTCACGCACTGTCTGCCACAAGCCGGCAAGGGGGGCTTCCGGGCACATTCTGGAGTCAGGCTGTGTGGGTTCAAATCTTGGTTTCACCACTTCCTAGACAAGTGACCTTGAACAAGTTACTTAACTATCCTGTAGGTGTTTCCTCATCCACACAATGGGAATAACAGAACCTCCCTCTGAGGACTACTGGGAGGATCAGATGATTCATACCCAGAGCTCAGAGTGGGACCCGGCCACAGCAAATGCTCTATAATCTATAAGCATGGGGTGCCATTGTTACGCTTCTGAGACTGTTTCTTCACCTGTGAGAGTGGGTGTCATCCACCTTTCAGGACACTGACGGAATGAAATCAAACAGCATGCATAAAGGCCTGGCACACAGTGGAGGCTCAACAAAGGCCAGTTCCTCCTGATAACCCATTTCCCACTACTCGATTAAAAACGGCAGTTGGAAACTAGTTAACTACTCAGGTGCAGGCAGCTTTTATGCACCGGGCAGGACTTGCCCTTTGGTGGCATGAGGATGAATCACTCATGGTCTCGCTCAGGGAGCTCATGGCTGAGTAAGTTCTAGGTCACCTGAGAGTATCAGGTAAATTGCTCTGGGGCCTGGAGGGCCTGGGAAGACTTTATGGATGAGGAACCATAACCAGAGGGAAGATTTAAACATGAGGCCACAGGGTGAGGCTGGAAAGGAACTCCAGGCAGAGGGAAGAGTAAGATCGAAGGCCTGGAGGCAGATAGCCCAGGGTGGAGCAAACCAGGGGTCACGTGAGAGACAAGGCATCTGAGACAAGGGGCGTCCAGTTCTCCTTTAGTCCTCAAGGTGGCTCTGGGGAGGCTACTGCCTTCTCCAGTTTAGGACTGGGGGGAGGCTCAGAGGGCTGGAATCCAGACCTCAGGCTTCCGCCCCAGTACCCCAAATCCCCAGGGGACAGTCTGAGGCTGAGGGAGACAGCCTGCCTCGGCTTCAACCCAGCTGTGAAATGGGGGTAACCACAACCCCTTCATGGCAGGACTGGAAGAGTTTCCCAGGAGATAAGGGGGGTGGTTTCTTGTGCAGACAGAAGAGTAGACATTTTAAAAACATCTCTTCGGCCAGGCGCGGTGGCTCACGCCTGTAATCCCAACACTTTGGGAGGCCGAGGAGGGCAGATCATGAGGTCAGGAGTTCGAGACCAGCCTGACCAACATGGTGAAACCCCATCTCTATTAAAAAAAAAAAACTAGCTAGGTGTGGTGGTGCACGCCTGTAATCCCAGCTACTTAGGTAAGGCTAAGGCAGGAGAATCGTTTGAACCTGGAGGCGGAGCTTGCAGTGAGCCAAGATCACTCCATTGCACTCCAGCCTGGGTGGCAGAGCAGACTCCGTCTCAAAAAAAAAAAAAAATCTCTTCCCCATCCTTTCCAGGGCAGCCAGCCTAAGGTGAGGCAGGAGGACTGATGGCCAGGGGTAGAAGGGCCCACGGCACTGGCAGGTGGTGCTGCTGTTTCTGGCGGCCTCCCCCAGCAGCAGCCGGAGGCTTCCCTCGGAAGAGCTGCAAGTTTGTGTCTGGTAAAGCAGTGACTCAGCTCTGCCCTTAATGGCTGGGGAGGGTCACGTAAAAACACTTGCTGCCCCTTAGTAGGGCAACAGCAGGCAGGGCAGCCTGGGCAGGCGACGCGATGTGGTGGCGACCACCCTGTGTGCCAGGCATATTTCTCATGCCACCTCCCATCCCTCCAATACTGTGGGAGCCAGCTGGTGTCTCACCATCCCCTTCCCGGATGGAGAACAGGACTCAGATGGGGGAGTGACTGCCCGAGGGAGGGCGTGCTGCCATGGAAGCTGGCTGGGCAGGAGGAGCTGGTCATTCCCACTGTGCTCCTTTCACGCAGCACATGGGAAATCTTTTGTCCTCACGAACAAACCACGGTCCCTTCCACCCAGCACAGGCCTGGGACCAGAGTGGGCCTCGGAAAGCATATGGCAGAAGTGAGGGGCAGAGGAAACTCTGTGACACTGTAGCATAAGGAGGTGCCACTCACTGTCCTTTTCTCGCAGGAAGGTTCTTAGTCCAACCAGGATTACACAGAGAAAAACTGGCTCAGAGACCGTAGGGTCTGGCCAGCAGCCAGGCTCAGGGACTCCTAGCTCCCGGCCCGGGTCCCTGTTCTTGGCTCTTGGGGTTCCACTTCATCACTTGCGCCACTTGGCTCATCTCAGTCGGGGAGGCGGCACCTGAAGGAGATGCCGGGTCCCAGCTAAAGAAAAGACCCCCCAGCCAGCCCGGGAAGGCGCTGTGGCTTCAGCCCCTGGGCACACAATCAAAATCCAGGGCTCATCCCCAGCCAGGACAGTGGGAAACGCTTTGGAGTGGAGGCAGGTGAGCAGGATGGGCCGTCCTCACAAAAAGGGAGAGAACCTAGAGGCTTCTCGACCTTTTCCATTTTTCTTTAGATTTCTCCTCCACCTCTCACAGCCTGTTTTCTTTAATCTGCAAGATGAGGGGAACCCGAGGCTCAAATAAAATGAAAAAACACTGAATTCGGTGAACCCAACACTTACAGTCACACAAATTCACGGGGTTCCCGTTGTCCCTGTGAGGCAGCGGCTGAAAGAATCCCTCTGAAGGGACCCTCGGAGCCGCAGTGTTCTCATCTGTGAAGTGGGAGAGATGAGTTTCACTCCTCAAAGGGCTTTGTGAGGCTCGCGTGTGTGGAGGACCTAAAGTTTCCACCGCAGCCCCCGGCCGGCCTCGGGCCCAGGCAGATCAGGGCCGCAGGTACCCTGGTCTCCTGCTGTCACTCCTCGGCCCCCAACTCCACGCCATTCCAGAACTGCCCAGAACGCGGTCGGGGTGGCTCAGCGCGGCTTCCGCCGCCCAAGAGCGCCCTTTCCTGCCCCGCGCCGCGGGCTCCCGCCGCGCTCCCACCCCGGCAGCCGCACGTGCCCGCCGCCCTTCCCCGCACCTCGTGCTCCAGCTTGTGCAGGAGGCGGCCCCAGTAACGTTCGGGGACCCCGGAAGCGCGCAGCGCCGGGCCGTGCAGCGCCGCAAACTCCGCCAAGGCCTCCGCGCCCTCCTCCGGCGTCTGGCCCGGGCTGCTAAGCTCCGCAGGCGGGCGCTCCGGACGCCGCTCGGCCTCCATGGCGCCTGCACCCGCGCCGACTCCAGCGCCGCCCGCCGGCCCTGCCCTCCCGCTTCGGCGCCCGCGGCCGCCAGCACCTCCCCCCGGCCCCGCCCCCTGCCCCGCCCTCCTCCCCACCGCCCCCCACCCCGCCCCGCCCCGCCCCGCCCTGCCCTCCTCCCGGCCCCCCTCGGCCCCGCCCCCCTGCCGGCCCTCCCCGCCCCGCCCTCGTCCCGCCCCCAACCCGCCTCCAGCCCGGTTCGCCGCGGCCCCCGGGCAGGCCCTGCGCGTCAGCGGGCGCGTGCGTGGGCGCGCGAACTTGCGGGGAGGGGGCGCGCGCCTGCGGCGGCGCCTGCGGTTTGGCTGCCGCCGTGTGCGCACGCGCACCCGATGGGGGCGGAGCTTTTCTCGCTCATCCTGCGGCGACTCAGGGGAATGCCGGGAGGGCGGGGTGCCTCTGTCCGGCGCTGTCAGGACAGGAAGAGGCTCCACCTACTGCCCGGAAGGGGGAACCGGGTGACGCGGCGCTGCTGTTCCTGCACCAGGCACACAGATCTCGCAGGCCCCCGCCCCCGGGGAGTAAGGAACTCTCGATTCTTGTGAGTGCGTCACCAGATTTGGATGCTGCAAAATCGTGGCCCTTCTCAATTATATTTGGATTCGGAATGTCAGTTGATCCAATTAAGACCAAGCGTACCCGTCAGAAGAGTTTACTCCTACATGTCGGGATGTTGAACTGGGGATGGTGGCCGCATCTGTAGTCCCAGTTACTCGGGAGGCTGAGGCGGGAGGATCGCTTGAGCCCAAGAATTCAAGTCCAGCCTCCGCAACATAGCGAGACTCCCTCTTTAAAAGACAAAAACAGTTCAGTTACACACTTTCAAAAGACATTCTCTTTTGAACTTTCATTGAGTTTTATTGCTCCATAGGGATATATTTTAATGTCTTCCTGTTTGCAATATTGTAAGAATTGTAATTTGCTAAAAAAACAAAGGCTGAGAATTTTTTTTAGTTTCAGATGCTATTTTGATAACATGTTTGAACTGAGTTTGAACTAAATGCGCCAGTTCAGACTTGTTCAATTCCATTGTAGGAAGCAGGTGGGTCTGCAAAGGCTCAAATTTCCGAACTCAAGTTGGCGAGGGCTGCAGAGAAAAGCATTTTATTTATTTATTTATTTAGAGACAGAGTTTTGCCCCTGTTGCCCAGGCTGGATGGAGTGCAATGGTGCAGTCTCGGCTCACTGCAACCTCTGCCTCCTGGGTTCAAGTGATTCTCCTGCCTCAGCCTCCCAAGTAGCTGGGCCTACAGGTGTGTGCCACCATGCCTGGCTAATTTTTTGTGTTTAGTAGAGACGGGGTTTCACCATGTCAGGCTGGTCTTGAACTCCTGACCTTAGGACCTTAGGTGATCCACACACCTCGGCCTCCCAAAGTGCTGGGATGACAGGCGTGTGCCATCGCGCCTGGCCTATTTTTTTTTTGAAATGGAGTCTGGCTCTATCGCCCATGCTGGAACTCCACCTTGCAGGTTCAAGCAATTCTCCTGCCACAGCCTCCCGAGTAGCTGGGACTACAGGTGTGCACCACCATGCCCAGCTAAATTTTGTATTTTTAGTAGAGACGGGGTTTCACCATGTTGTCCAGGCTGGCCTTGAACTCCTGACCTCAGGTGATCTACCCTCCTTGGCCTCCCAAAGTGCTGGGATTACAGGTCCACGGCACTGCAATGGCCTTTTTGTTTGTTTTTTGAGACACAGTCTCATCTTGCTCTGTGGCCCAGGCTGGAGTACCGTGGCGTGATCTCGGCTCACTGCAACCTCTCTCTCCTGGGTTCAAGCAATCCTCGTGCCTCAGACTCCCAAGTAGCTGGGATTACAGGCATGCACCACCACACCCAGCTAATTTTTGGATTTTTAGTAGGGACAGAGTTGCACCATGTTGTCCAAGCTGGTCTCAAACTCCTGGCCTCAAGTGATCCGTCCACCTCAGCCTTCCAAAGTGCTGTGATTACAGATGTGAGCCACCTCGCCCAGTCAGAAAAACATGTTATTAATACTATCACACTGAAGTACTTTTCTGAGGAAAAATTTGATCTAAGAGAAGAGTCATGATTTACAGGATGATATGTAAATCCACTTCTGCAGATCCACTTGTTGTTTTCAGGCACAGTCTTAAAATAATTACTAACTTTTGATAGATGTGATGCTTCTGAATCAGAATTGTATCATCTTGTTTGAGGCTGGTGATCTATCTTTGACCTCCATGATGGAAGGTAAATGTTGACATTTTGTGGAAGTTTCACCTTCATAATCAACTTTGAGAAATCGAAATTCAGAACTTAATTTATAATGAAATATGAGTTTCTGGAATGTTTTTGTTTTAGTTTATTGCTCCTGAAAAAGTTATATTGCACAGTAGGAATAAAATACTAAATATTAATGTATGAACTAGACTTATACCACATTAAAGGGGACAAAACCACCATGGCCACAAAAGTGTTCAGCCTTCTCTATACAATGTAGAGTGGAACCATCGCCTCCATTTCCCACACATTTCATTTACACCTGACCTATAATTTCCCTAAGGCTCCATGTATCTTGCAGGACACAGAACAGGCACAACTCAGGTTGTAAGTAGGCAGGGGCAGCAGGATCTCACTGTGACTATTCAGTAAATAACAATATTATATTGCAATTAGGTAAGAAATATCTTCTTCATAGACCTGATCATTGCAAAATTCCATCTATATATATTTTTTTTCTTTTTTTTTTTTTTTTCTGAATCAGGGTTTTCCTCTGTCACCCAGGCTAGAGTGCAGTGGTTCTATCATAGCTCACTGCAGTCTTGAACTCCTGGGTTCAAGAGATCTTCCTGCCTCAGCCTCCCAAGTAACTGGGAGGTACACTAGCTGTGTACCACTACACCTGGCTAATTAAAAATTCCTTTTGTAGAGTTGAGGTCTTGCTTTGTTGCCCAGGCTGGTCTCAAACTCCTTATTTCAAGCGATCCTCCTGTCTTGGCCTCCCAGAGTGCGGGAATTACAGGTGTGAGCCAGCATGCCCCATGCCCAGCATTGTGATGCTATTTTACTATATTATCTATTTATTTTGAGATGGAGTTTCGCATGTTGACCAGGTTGGAGTGCAACGGTGCAATCTCAGCTCACTGCAGCCTCTGCCTGCTGGGCTAAAGCGATTCTCCTGCCTCCCAAGTAACTGGGACTACAGGCGCGCACCATCACACCCGGCTAATTTTTGTATTTTTAGTAGAGATGGGGTTTCACCATGTTGGCCAGGCTGGTCTCAAACTCCTGACCTCAAGCAATCCACCTGCCTTGGCCTCCCAAAGTGCTAGGATTACAGGCATGAGCCACTGCACATGGCCTGACTATATTATTTCTCATGCCTTATAGTCATGACTATGTAGATAGTATATGTCATACTTACAATTATTTTATTATCAGCAACCATGCAGACTGAAACCTGTTGTCTTTGACACTTGATGAAAAAACTAATTCTGTAAAATATTTAAAGATGTTTATTCTGGGCCAATACGAGTGACCATGGCCCAGAGTACAGTCTCAAGAGGTCCTGAGAAAGTGTGCCTGAGGCGGTCGGGTTATAGTTTGGTTTTATACATTTTAGGGAGACAGGTGTTAACAAGCAAAGACATAGGTCAATACCTAGAAGGTGTACATTGGTTCCATCTAAACAGGTGGAATATCTTGGGGAGGGGGCTTCAGGTCACAGGTGGATTCAGAGATTTCCTGATTGGCAGTTGGCTGACAGACAGAGTTAAGCTTTGTCTAAAGATTTAAGAAGTCAGTAGAAAAGAATGCTTAAGATAAAGGGGTTGTGGAAGCCAAGGCCGTTGTTATGTAGATGAAGTTTCTTAGGTGGCAGTCCTCAGAGAGCATGTGATGCAATGCTAGAATCAGGTTGAAATTCGGTATCTTATTGCAACAAGGAGTCTGTTTTGTCAGTCTTATAATTTTTATTTTTAGGCCGGGCGCAGTGGTTCATACCTGTAATCCCAGCACTTTGGGAGGCCAAGTTGGGCATCACCTGAGGTCAGGAGTTTGAGACCAGCCTGGCCAACATGGTGAAACCCTGTGTCTACTGAAAAATATAAAAATTAGCCAGGCCTGGTGGTGGGCACCAGTAATCCCAGCTACTCGGGAGGCTGAGGCAGGAGAATTGCTTGAACTTGGGAGGTGAAGGCTGCAGTGAGCTGAGATCATGCCACTGCACTCCAGCCTGGGTAATAGAGCGAGACTCCATCTAAAAACAATAAAAAAAAAATAAAAATAAAAATGGGAGTTTCCCTGCACAAGCTCTTTCTCTTTGCCTGCTGCCATCCATATAAGACGTGACTTGCTCCTCCTCGCTTTCTGCCATGATTGTGAGGGCTCCCCAGCCGTGTGGGACTCTAAGTCCATTCAACCCCTTTCTTTTGTAAATTGCCCAGTCTTCATCAGCAGTGTGAAAATGAACTAATACAGGCAGCTTGGATGTTAAAGGCAAGATGGATTTGGTCAGGCCAGATCTCCTTCACTGTCATAATTTTCTTTCAGCTTCACTCTCCAATAGACCATCCTCTTGTGGTAATAAGATAGCTTCAGCGGCTCCTGCCCAGCCCACATTCTCCTAGGTATCCCATCCTGCTGGGGAAGACAGCCTAAGTCTCAGTTGTCTCAGGTACTGGTCAGATCATGTGAACATTCCTGACCCAGCCCCTTTGACCAGGAGAATGTGAGGCTCTGACAGGGAAGGCCTCTTTTACATGCTTCTCCCCAAATGTAAACCCAGTTGTGTCAGATCCCTACTTGGAACCCTTTGTGGTTCAACTCTTCATGTGAGTTCCAAGGCTCTGTGTGAGCTGACACTGCCAACCTTTCCAGGCTCTTTTCATCACACTCTTCCCCTCACACTGTGAGTTTCTGTCTCTCTGGTTGTCTTTGGCTCCTGGAAAGCATTGTGCTCTGTCTTCTGCCAGAAAGCCCTTTCCCCCCATGCTCACTTTGTTAATCCTGACTCATTCTTCTCAGGGGAAATATTCTAAAGAGGCACTGAATGTGTATTTAATCAACATA